TATCATACTTTAGTACCTCGCTATTTTTTCTTTGTTTATGTTTCAGCTGCTATATTGGCTAACTTCATCTTCATTTGTTCGTGTGTATGAGATGGAACAAATATGTGATCTGCGAAGTCCAGATTGTCTAGTTGTATCCAACCTATCCATTTTATTCTGTGCTCCCCTTTGATGTCGAGGTCTTCATAATCCGATCAACAACTACAAGAAAGAGAAAGGGTGACGATAAACGGTCTTGTCTGGCACCAGTATTCACTTGTAATGCGTCTGTCAGCTGTCGTCCATGCACGACTTCACACTGTTGTCCGTCGTATGATGTTGATGATCTTCTCAGGTACACAATACTGTCAAAGAAGGATCCATAAGGTTCCGCTATTCACGCTGTCAAACGCTTTCTCATAACCAAGGAAATTGATGTATAGTGACGAGTTCCATTCAATTGATTGTTCATCGATGATCTGTAGTGTCACGATTTGTTCTGTGCACGACCGATCCTCACTGAATCTGGTTTGTTGATCTCGAAACAGGAAGTCTGCTGAATTATTCATCCGGTTTAGCAACACTGTGGTGGTACTGATAGGGGTGCGATGCCTCTGTATTTCTCACACTTGCTCAGATCTATTTTCTTTGGTATCTTGGAACGATTTGCTTTTTACCAGTTTGTCAGTGGTACTTGTTCTCCCTTCCAAATCTTCCTGAAAAAGACGTGGGGCATACTTGCAGTTAACTCTATGTGTGATTTCAGTGCTTCAGGTAGTATATTATCAAGTCCTACTGCTTCTCTGCTGTTGATTTATCTGATGGTTATGTTGATTTGTTCTGTAGTTGGTTGGGTGACATCCATAGGGATATCTGTGCGTGGTGTTCGATATCCAGTAGATTCAATGGAGTTGGTCTATTCAAGGGTTCCTCAAAGTGTTCCACTCATCTGTTCCTATGTCCCTGCCTTCGTTGTCCTTGACTGGTCTCTCTGATTTGCTCTATTTTTCTACCAGTTTCTTCGTTGTGTTATACAGGTGTTTCATATCCCCTTCTCTTGTGGCGCTTTCTATAATCGTTACTAGCTCTTCCACGTATTTCTGCCTGACAACTTTTATATTGTTCTTCACTTGTTTGCTTCTGTGTATTCAGTTTGTGCTTTGACTTTCACTGCTCTTGTTCGACTGTTGTTGATCCCTGTCTTCTTTTTTCTATCTTGTGTAGGGTTTTGATAAAGATCCATTCATTATGACAATGCTTCTTGCTGTCCAGAACATTCTGGAACGTTGAAGTTAATGCTTTTTTGGTCCCTTTCCAATTGTCCTCCATAGTAGTTTTCCTTCTATCAGTAGATCCTGTAAAGCTTGGAACCTTTTGTTGAAAGTTGTCTTGAATTCGTTGAGATTATTAGTACTAGGAAGGAAGTTTCTATTGAACCTGAGCTGTTTCCTCAGTTTTCCAGTGTTTCGTTAACTTCAGTTTCATCTTGGTAACCACCAGCTACTGGTGATCTGAAGTTATGTTAGCTACTCTCCTGGTTCTCATGTCCTCCATTGACGTTTTCAATATTTTAGTGATGCGAATATGATCTGTATGATTCTGTGAACCAGTCAGACCCACATGGCTTTGTGTGTGAGTTTGTGTGAAAATATTGTGTTGCCTACAACCATTTAGTTGGATTCATATAAACTTGAAAATCTGTTTCCCTTTTCGTTCCTTTCTCTCAGTCCTCCGTTCATGTCGTCGCATGATATATTCATACCCGGTGTTGTTCATTCCGACTTTGTCTTTTAGGTCTCTCCTGAGCACTTCGCGATGACCGACCAGCAGCCTCTCATAAACCTGATCTTTGTCGTCGTCAGTGCTATCATAATTTTTCTTATTGAAGATTTTTCAACATTTCGTAGCAACGTACACAGACAAAAATCTTACGAGATTAAATGCTAAAGAGTAATAACCATGATATTGGGTATCACATAAATTTGCACATCTGAAACGTATTTTGTTATAGAACGTAAAAGACCAAATAATGAAATGTATTAAAATATTTAGGAAATTATTAAGATTCGAATCACTTGTAGTTTTGAAATCTATTTTCCGATTACTTGCACTTGCATATTTAAATAATTGATTACTTTGATAAATTTAGATAATACGATATAAACACAATATAATACAGCACTTGTCTGATAATCCTCATCATCACATATTGTAATCTATATCCCCATATCTAGTTCACGGGTGAGAAAATTTCAAGGCGGATGTTATATATTGAACAAAGTATCTTTTGACATCCTCACAATCTTTTCACTAAAGCTAGTTGGAATAGTTGATAACTAGAACTGGTAATTACGGTGAATTAAAGTTTAATAATCCCAACTAGAGCCGTTAACAGCGAAATTGTCGATTATATCAGATGTAAGAAATTGTTTGTAGATGTCTGTTATAACATACTTGTAGCCTCCTGGTATTTTTGTTTTCTAAGGCCAAATTTCACGGCTATCAAACGACAAAGTGAAAAATCACCACACTATATATATAAAAATCCAAAAAAATCGTGGCGACTAAGAAAATTAGCGTACGCATTTAGTTATTATTTCATGTACTGCTCGAATAAACTGCATACTAGACAACTTTTACTAGTCATAGCTAAATTAGACCAAACGTCATGGTTATTTTTGGGGCACAATCCGCAGATGTTAATGGTTACAATCTCAAACTACTTTGTTAGTTCCTTTAACTGAGTGACTTAATCGATTTTCTTGAAGAAAAAGTCTAATCAATATTTTCTTTTCAGTCTATGCAACTATTTTACTCCTTTTTTTGTTTTAGAAAGGTGCATATTAAAATAATTGAGGCTTGTTTGTTTGCAAGGAAATACTTTTAACTGACACATACACTTTGGAGTTGGTGTGAGTTTAGGGATTGTTTCATCGTTAATACTCGCGTAGTTACTGTGATGTGCAAGAATGTAATATGAAAATTGAGAAGATTGAATTGATTGCCAAACTAACTGTCGTGTGTCAGTGACGGTTGAGATTGAAATAGTGATGAATTAGTGTCTATAGTTAGCGCTGTTGCTAAAATAAGGCATAATATCAATCAATCGAGTTACAAATTTTGGTGGGAATATATGTAGCATCAGCACTTTGATATGGGCCAGTCATTTTGTTGGTACGGACGGAGCTGACGAATGATCTTTGGATTTCTATGTTCACACCATTTTCAGCAGTATTCCGGGTGTTTTTGGATACAATTTTATTCAGTCAGTTGTCGAGGTCTTCATTTTTGTCATATTAACAGAGACTTTATGAGCTTCTCACGAGAGTGCAGACTGACGACAACATAGTTACAACAGAAAAGCCACAAGAATGCTTTTGTGGATGAATTTTCTATTAAATACGGCTTCGAAAGTTATTAAAACGCATTAAACAAACTCTGGAATTTTAGTGATTATCAGAAATCTTTGGTCTCATATTCGAACTCACTCAGTACTCCTCCTTGTTTTACATTACTCTGATGATTTACCCTTGATTTTTGCTACTGCCCTAAAGCCAACGGCTAATTATTCAGGATAATATGTATGCTTTAGAATTCCACACCGAATGAGCTTTAAAAGACTAGGTTATATAATTTTTTCACCAAAATACCTTGCCTGCCCAACGAAGTAAGGATGAGCACTGGTGAACAGTGCAATTTACTCTCAGAAGTGTTAGTAGTGCCGCTTCTCTTCATTTCTCTAGAAATATGCATATATGTTTATGTTAGTTTAAACAAAGTCTACTTTAAGCGTCCTTCCACGATCACGGTAATTAATATGGCAATTCTGCAGTTTGATGGAAGTTGTCTTGGCCCTGTTTTATGTATGAGAGCGACGATTTTATCCTTTTAGTCCATCGGTGACACACCTTGGTCAAGTGGCATATTGAATATTACAGTTGATGGGGATGCAACATATTGTGCAATATGTTTCAGGATTTTGGGGCTTAGTTCATTCGGTCTTGTTGACATTTTTATGTCTAAGGTGGTAAGGTTCTAAGTACATCGTCTTGCTCAAAGTTCATGGTGAGTAGGCGGTTCGTTGACTTTGTACTTTGTTATAGTTACTCCTTTAGAAGAGTCTCTTGAGTGAAAACTGACATAAAACAGTTAGCTATAGCCTTTGCTTTTTCCTGATCTTTCTTTATCATTTCAGATTCACTCCCTTATTTAATTAGGTTGAGAATCCAATGCTGCATCCTGTTCTGTAATTTGTGTACGAAAATAGTCTCTTAGGCTGCTTGAGTGTAGGTTGTGCCAAATGCATTTCACATTTTCTCTGAGCTTCCCGGAATTTAATTATACACCTCTTTCTTACCGACCTGTAACGTCCCATCGTTCTTGCTGTGCCAAGGCTGATAGAAACATTCAAATGTATCCTCTTTTGTCTTGGTAGACGTCAAATATCATGGCCTATTCAGGGATGACTCTGCTTCTTCGTTATCTTTGGGACTGTTTAAGAAATATAAGTTCGAGTTTCCCGATTGTATAACTGCCTGAAATGACTTCATCCATCCTGTACTGATACCCTTGAGTCGATTTCCCAGTTTTAGGCCGATGTTGCAGAGTCTATCTATCTTTGCCTTCCATATTCCAGGACGGGTCGGCGCAGTTGTTTGATAGGTCGTCTCAGCCATGAACTTGAATAAGATTACTGCATGATTGCTCCTCCCTAGAGGTGGTAGGAAAATCATTTGGCCAACATCACTACCGTGTGTGAAGAATAAGTCGCAAAGGAACGAGGAACTTCGTAATTCATATCTGGTAGGATCTCTAATATGCTATAATAAAGCTAGTGAAATTGAGGTTTCGAACATTTTTCAATCGAATGACGTTATCCATGACCCTACTTCTAATTTTACCCTAAGTTACTACATGGTGATACCGAAGATCCAATAACACCAGATATGGAGGCACATTAGATGGAAGCTTCTACCATTTTATACGTAATTATTTAAATCATCTGAAATTTAAATCTTTAACGAAATGAGAAGCGGGAATTTTGCCTTTTGAGGTCGTTTCAAGGTTATATGTTGTTATGGCTGAAGGAAAGCTAAAAATCGGTTCTCGCGTTGAGGTGACAGGAAAGGATGTTGTTGGTACCATAGCATATATTGGAACAACACAATTTTCTCCTGGTAGATTCCCAACCCTTTTTTTATTTTGAATTCAGGGAAATGGGTAGGAGTGATACTAGAGGAAGCGAAAGGGAAAAACAATGGTACGGTCCAAGGGAAACGCTACTTTACTTGTGAAGAGAATCATGGGATCTTTGTGCGCCCATCTCAGGTTCGTCTCTAATATCTCGGGAGACTTACACTTATGCTGCCCAACTTTGATTTAGTCCTTTAGTTCCCGAACGTCTTAGCAGCCATTTCTTAGGATATAACTACTAAGGCAATAGATCGATAAGTTCATTCCTCCACATATGTTTAGCCCTATTATACCCTCCGCAAAGTCGCCACTGCGTAACGTATTCCACACAATCGATTATACTACTGTCAACATCACTATTTATCGATTACCTTTAGGCGTGAATAACTAAAACTTTAAGCACCGCTGGGTATCAATGTAAATTTTATAGGGACGAATTTTTATGTTGTGTAGAGTCCAAGAGAGAGCAGATATTACTGGGTAAATATGTGAGTTGGCATCGAGTACAATAACTCGCGTTCTTCCGTATTCCTCAACATTTCATGCCTTACTAATGTCCATTTGCTTTTATTTATTATTTTGTAGTTTCAATATATTCATTTTCTTTATTTCTGGAATATTTGACTTCCTAAGTTCAAACTAGTGTTATCGCTTTGTTTGCTTGACTAACTGACTAAATGTTTCCGAAGGGGATCACACATATCGATGAAATTTCTTTATTAGGTATCAAAAATTTATTCAGTTTTCGTTGGAATTATTTCAGTTATGATGCTCTAAATATGTTTTACACATAAATGCTAGGTTTAATGTTTTTATTACATGTCGCGACACCTAATGTGTGCTTCATAGAAGTCGTATCATTACATAACATGGGTTTGGGAATTCACATGCTATTCATTTCTATCCACCTATCATACCTTCATTCACTTGCATATCTATCTAAAATATCTTAATTTGTTCATTAGAAGATAGTGACGCTAGTTTATTAACTTTATCATAACCCATTGTGATAAAAGTTTTCCATTTTGTTATGCTCTCTCAGTTTGTTATTGTTTGGTTTTTTTTCCCACTGATACAACATTTTATGTGGTAGTTATTAATAAGGAGTGCTTTACCTCGTTGTGCTTATGAGCTTGATATCTTAGTAGACTTTGTTATCGACTGAGGTTTACCATAGGATTCAGCAAACTTTCTGGGAAATCAGAAATGCATTCCACAAGTACCATGTTAGTGATGACGTCCCTTGATACTTGTATGATGCTTGTCTATTAGGCTAGCTGTTAGTCATCTTTCGTCACATCTGATCATATTTCTTGACAATTATTTCCGTAGACAATAATGTCGAGAGGTTTTTAAAAGCACTGACTAGTTAGTAAGAACACTAACATAAGGTTGACAGATCCGGGAAAATGCGCCGTTCTGTTTTTTTCATATTAAAGAATATATCTCATTGGTTTCGTATGTTTGTAATATTAGTTGTAGGACTTTCGTCAAGTAGATCTAGTAAAACCTTATGCTCCAGAGTTTTCGCTTTCAGTTCTGTCTACCAAAGATATTTATTAACAACGAACTGTAAAGGTAGACAAAAGTGAAATACGATACTTGAATTCATCACTAAATTATTTATTTTAATTACAACTTCAGACTAACTTGTAAATACTTCCTAATTACATTTTCCTTACGAAGTTTCATAGTAAGTACTTCTACCTATTTTCTATTTGAAAACAGTAATATATGGTTCATTTTCAAATGACAATCTGAATCACTAATTTTCCCACTTTCTTCATCCTTTAGCTTACTCTTCTGGATGACCAAGATGGATCAAGCACAATGGATTTATCCATTTCAAGCGTTCTTTCAGAATCAGGCACAACTTCAGAATCTAGTACATCTAGGTTGTCATTAGGTGAAACTCCTAAACGTACGGGTTCTTCAACTTCTTTATCCAGCAGTTTAAAACCTGAAATGGCAAAAGGTATTACATTTCGCAGTCCATTTTTTAAAATATTCTTTCAGGACTGGTTTCTCCGACCCTAATGCTATTGATAAATACTCTGGTTCGCTCTTTTATAAGTTAATATGTGATCGATATAAATATCTCATTACTCGTTACTAGTTTGATTCTGCCGTAGTTGCCAATCAAATGTCTAGTGACACAATTGCTAAATTATCTTACATTGTAGTGCTCTGTCCTACGATTGATTAATATACCAGGTATGTCTGTGTACCGTGTTTTAAATTACACAACATATTATTGAACCTGGTGCTTAATAACTAAAAGTGGAGCCCTTTAATTACTAAGTGACCGCTCCTCTTGCGATTGTTTCACAAACCGCAATCGTCCTTCAGGTATCTTAGTCAGTCACAACGCGGAACGTGGCATGTCCAAGCTGACACAATCCATTATTACATAATAATGAAATTTTCAACCCGAATTTCAGGATACTAGAGTTAGTAACAGTATGTGATACAGTTTGCGAAAACATATGTCAGTGAAGTGAAAATACAAAAAAATAGTTATGATGGATTCAGAAGGTTGGAATTCGAAGTGAAAAAGAATGGATGCACCTACACCATTGCAAACGATTTTGATCCATATCATTCAAAGTCTCTAACCATCGGTTTCGACAATTATGCGGACGCCAACCAGGTAGTTTACATCTATTAACACAGCTTAGTCTACTTGTCAGTGACTTCATGAGCTGATGCTATGTTTTGATTTGGCCGCCTCTAGCTTTCTTCAGCAAGTATCTATCTTCAATGTTAACCTAGTCACCTCCCGTCAGTCGTGATTTTCTGTTTACTCCGTGAAATGATAAAATTTCACGTAGGCAGCTATCAGATCTCAGTTCTGTGGTCGAGAAGTAAAATAGTCTCTTTGTAACACAAAAACTCTGAGTTCGATGTCAAAATAAGTAAGCAGTGTGGAGTTCTGCTGGATTTTATCATTGTAACAAAACGATTGTTTTGATCAATCTCTCATTTTAAGTAGTTCTTCATGTCTGAGTTGCTTCAGACTTTTTAAAAATATTATTTCAATATTTTACAAAGTTTTTTCTTTCCTTTTTTAACCCGTCTACCACGAAATTCTAATATCATGCATCCACAGGACGAACTTTAAAGTCACCAGCTCTCAAGCGCTCTTCTTTAGCTAGTTCAACATCATCAGTGAAGGATAAGCCTAATCTACCTGTCTCAACGGGGAGACGTACGTTCTGTTTTCGTTGAGTGCATGTTAAAAAACGCGCATATTCATTAGCTCTAATCTTACATTATCTAACACCCATAATATGCCTATAATTAACTCCTTAATCCTGATGACTAATATTTAAATGTGTATCCTGTCCTAATTTTTCTATCTACACTACTATCCATTTATTTTTTATAGGTCCACCTGAAATCAGAAAAGCGTCACAAGTAAGTATTTGTTTATTATCGTTCAGTTAATGTTTTTCACTTAAGAATTAAACGGTCTGACCAAGTCCCCGGTTTGAATCCCGCTTACCTAATTTCGCTTGGGTAGCTGGATTGTGCGATTAGATCTCATGCTTAGATTGCAACTCATATCCACTCAAATTATTACTTGAATACAATATAACGTAGTATTTCATTTTTGTAGACACATTTGTAAATCTCTAGTTAAAGTATAATTTTTTAAAATTCAAACAAAGTATTCATATTATGATACATGATAGTGCTTAGTTTCCACAGTAGTTGCCGGGAAACAAATAACGATTATTTCTATTAATTACATCGCAATCAGATCAAATAGTTGAACAGGATTTAGGATCTGATCATGGTGTATATCTATTCAATTTGCAACACTAGCAGGAAAATAAATGAAAATTCAGTCAGTCAGTCAGTCAGTAACAACGTAGAACTTCGTACGTACGTACATCAGTTCGAGTTGCCACACCACATTAGCACAGAGATAGAGTGGTCGATTCAAATCCCGTAGTGGTAGAGGTAATAAGAGTATAAGCAGTAATCGGAAAGATTAGTGTTTGGAGATTTTACTTAAAGAGTATAATACAGTGAAATAAACTTGTGAAGAGAAAAAAGAGACAAGGGGGAATCGGGAGATCAAAATTTGGGAGAACACAAAGAGTGGATGCACCTGCGCCATTGCAAACGATTTTGAGCCATGTCATTCAAGGTCCCTAACCATCGGTTGCTATCATCTCGCGGTCCCCAACCAGGTAGTCTACACCTACCGATATGACTCAGCCCACTTGTCAGTGACTTCATGAACTGGTGCCATGTTTTGGTCTGGCCGCCCCTAGCTTTCTTCCAACCTACTCCTATACCACTGAACATCGCACGTCGAGGCAGTCGGTCGTTGGGCATACATAACACGTGTCCCAGCCATCAACTGATGAAGTTTCACTACTTCATCAATTGATTTGCCATCTTTACCTAGTACCCGTTTCCTAACAACTGCATTACTTACTCGATGGTCCCAGGATATACGAGCAATATTTCGAAGACACCTATGATCAAATACTAGTAACCTACGGATATCCTCTACTCTTAACGCCCATGTTTCACTGCCATAAAGTAGGACGGAACGAACTGCTGTACAGTAAACACGTCCTTTGGTTGATAGACGGATATCTCGCCTACGCCATAAATGACGCAAGTTGGTAAAAGCTAGTCGAGCCTTCTGTATCCGTGCTGAGATTTCGTCACACACCAGACCACAAGGGCTGATGAGACTTCCAAGATAAGTGAAGCGATCGACACGCTCAATTACTTCACTCCCTATCATTAGTTCGGGTGTCGATGCAACCCAATCCAGAAGCAGCATTTTGCATTTCGAGGGAGAGAATCGCATCCCGAACATGCTTGCATTGTTGCTTAGAGTGGTCAGAAGACTCTGCATTTTGTCTGCGTCTTCGCCAAATAAAACTATGTCATCGGCATATTCTAAGTCAACAAGTGAACCTCCTGGTAGAAGTTCAACCCCTGGAAATTTAGATAAGGAAGGTGTCATGTCTAAAAGCACGTCAACGACAAAGTTAAACAAGAAAGGAGAGAGTGGACAGCCCTGACGAACACCACTTGAGGTAATCAATTCTGATGACAGTTCGCCATAAGCTCTCACTCTACCAGTTGTGTTCGAGTAGAGAGCCTGAATAAGATTAATGTACTTCTTTGGTACTCCTTTCAGTGAAAAACACTGCCATAGAACCTCACGATCAACAGAGTCGAATGCCGCCTTAAGGTCGAGAAATACACAATCAGTGATTGAGACCAGTCAGATGGGATTACGTCCAGTTCCCAAATTCTACCTAAGACCTCAGTTAATCTCACTGCTAATACTGAACCACCATCCTTAAAAATCTCAGGAGTAAATCTGTCAGGGCCTGCTGCTCTCCCTCGCTTCAGATTTCCTATGGCTTTTTCAACTTCGTAAAGAGACGGAGGACCTACATTAACTTGCCACTCAGGTTGACTGGAGATCGTGGGAAATCGAAGTGTGGCTGAAGGCCAGTTGAACTGATCCCTGAAGTGTTCTGCCCATCGATCCAATCTCCTGGATTGAGAGTGTATAATATGTCCATCTTTCTCTGAGATTGTTTCGCTAACAGTCGGTTTCCTTAACAAGTCTGAACAATTGTCTGCTATTACCTATTGCCGCTACCTTTTCCATCTCTCTTGCTTTCGCTACTCACCACTGTTCACGATCGTTGCGTAGACTTCTTGTCAGCTTGCGCTTAAGCTGACTCCGCTTTTCATTATGTTCAGAGCCAGGTGGAATGAGTTTCCGAGCATCTATCAGTGCGATAGATGCTGCTGAGATCCAGTGTCCTTCCCTAACCTTACGGGTTACCGTACTAGCAGATATCACTGCTGTTTCCACAGCTTTACGGATATCATTCCATGCTGCCTCGGGGTGGGCATCACATACATGGCTGCCTAACTGTTTTCCTAGTTGTTCCTGAAATATACTCTTAGCTTGACTATCATTAAGTAGGCCCCTAAGAGGTTTATCTGCAGCGTCTTTCCTACGTCCAGTAAGACGCAAACAGATACGCGCTCGTACTAGAGCGTGATCTGAATCTAAGCATGTGCTCCAGAATGAGCGACAGTCTTCTATCGAGCCCCTCCATCGGTGGCTGATAGCGATGTGATCAGTTTGGGTCCAACGCTGGGACGAATTAGGGGGTCTCCATGTTAAAATATGTTTTTCCTTATGCTTAAAGTTAGTATTTGCATGAAAGAGGCGGTTATTCGAGCATAGCTGCTACAGACGATCGCCATTATCTGTTCTTTGAGCCATGATGCTATGAGATCCACCCAGGTATCTTTCCCTATCTCTCAGTTTACCTACTTGAGCATTAAAGTCACGGGCCATTATTACTACATCTGAGCGCCTAGCTTTTCGGAGAAGGTCGGAAAGCTTTCTGTAAAACTCATCTTTTACATCATCTGCGCTGCAGTCAGTGGCAGAATAGGCAAAGACGACGAAGAGGCAACGACGAGTGTCCCTATCTTTTCGGATCCTTACTGTTCCGTTTAGTCGTACAGCGCACAAACGACTGTCTACTGGGATTCACTCTAAGAGAGCTAGTTCTGCCCTACGACTCAATGATATGCCTACGCCGGCGAGGCCACGGGAAGCAGAATCAGGGCTTCCAGATACACGAAGTGTGAATCGAGTAGGTTCTTTATTTTGGCATGGTGAGGTCAGATGAATGACGCTACTCGGGCCCTGTATGTGCGTTTCGGAGACTCAGCACACATCGATGGCGCGGGATTTTAAAGTCCTAGCTAAGGAAGCCTGTTGTCCTATTTGGCACAGTGTTTGGACGTTAAAAGCTCCTACGTGTAGTTTAGAACGTGGTTTCAGGAGACCAGAAATAGCTTTCCGCGTACTCGAATCGTTTGCCCTACCGGTGTGAGGTGATAAAGAAACGTGATGAGGGTTAGTCATGGAAATAAGAGAGGTATTAGGTGTAGGAAGGATTTGAATGTGACTAACTTGGTCTCGTGTGTTACGGGTATGAGGGCTGATGTCAATTCCCGGCTGCCAACACCGTGGAAAGATATATCTTGGGGAACCTGAAAAGGAAATTGGATTAGTATTGGTCTTGACGACCTGGGAGCGTGACCGCAGAGCCCAAGGGACAACTGCTTGAGGCCGGTCGCGCACGGTCTTCTTGTGGGAGGTTTTTAATGTGTTAGCTCCGTTTTTGTCAATGGGTCTTACCGCCGGAGATGGAAATCCGTGAGGCAAGGTGAGGTGTGACATTTTTAGGGTCGACCTTTTCTAACCCCACCCCTCTTTGTGGGAAGACAGCATCGCTGCAGATGCTGGTTGTCCAAGAGAAGCACCTTACTGCTGTCACACCCCTCTACAGTGAGCAGTACGACTTCGCCCTCAGACCTTGAGTTGCTGCTTTTAGTCTTACCGTTCTCCAATCGACCTTCCTGGCATGGTAGAACCTATAGGAACATATGTTCTAGCCAATATAGCTCGGTTGGGTCATCACGATAGGCAAGCTCAACCACCGCGTCAAGGTAGCAGCTTCGGTCGGGAAATGAAAATTAACCAAAAGGGAAAGTCATTCATTAAAAATAATAATAATAATAACGATGCTAATACATTAGCGAATAAATACGAGAGAGGAAAAGACAGTAGACACTAATGAAATTAAAGGATGAAATATATTTATAAATACTTCGTCTTATGCTAACATCTAATTAAGGGGTTGATTTATTTGCTTTCTTTTCGCTTATTTTAAAACGTTCTTTTTTTGGAAGAATAACCACATCATTCATTCTCTTAAACCTCGGTAAATGAGGTCAAGATTAGACTAGAAACCTAGGCTTTTAGAACGTGCTCGAACTATCAGGCTACACCTCCATATATTTTATTTTATATACATAAAATATGGTACAAATTGGCACCAAAAACGTATACTCTGCACAAATCAATGGTAAAGTTGGAGTAGAATGGTGAGCTTTGGAAATCCTATCTAATCTTACTGGGGGACCGGAACAATGAAGATAGGTGATCGTATTCCTTTACTTCTCATGAAGTGTTTCCGTATAAAACCTTGAGGATGTTGCTAAAATCCTCAGGCTCACTATTGAAAAATCCCAGACTACATTTCTGTCCAAGGATTCAGAAGCATTCTTAATATCTATAAAAATAACGTTTATTTGTCTTGCAGTCATTTTGGCGATGTTTTAACATTTGGCGTAAGATGAAGATATAGTCAATTTATTCATGATCAGAGTGAAATCCGACTCACTCTTCACATGACAGTTTTTTTTACAAACATTCATACAAAGTATTACTACATCGTAACAAAAATTAGCTGTCAAAAGGGTCTGGTTTTATTTCATATTTCAATAATGTCACATGTTACCAATACAGCCCAATAGTATTTGACAAAGTAATTATATCCATTACATATACTTCTACTATTCTAGTCATGGTCATTATCGTACACAGTCACTATATTTTCCTGTTCACTGTATATTAATCACAATCAATTAAATGAATTAGTTTGGTTACACACCCTTACCTATGACTTTTCTTATAGATTACTATTCACTCTTACTGAGTTCATGTGCTTTGTTTTTTATTTTATTAAAGTAATCCTTATGTCTTTTTTTCTCATTAGCCTGCATTAAAGCAACCTAGTATGGTAAGATTGATTTTTTCTTCCCTAACAATAACAACAACAACAATAACAGTATACTCAAAAGCTAATTGATGCGCTAATGTAAATCTGCTATATTTGACCTAAAAAAAATTAATTTCTTCTGTTAAAATCTTAAAGTTTTTAAATTGTTTTATTTTGCAGTTTAGTAAATTGTAGCTGTTTTAACTTACTTGTTTACTTACGCCTGTTACTACTCTTAGCTATTTTAACGGATCCAATATAAATGAAATCCTTTTTCCAAAATGTTAACAAGGGAATTCTTGATAGACACTTTTTTCTTACTATATAATTACTTCATTATCTTACATACTATACAATTTTTGTCATGGGATAAGACTTTTTACCTTTAGAGTTCAAAGAAAAAATACCGGTGTTTATTCATGGAATTTACTGATTCTCAAAAACTTGTTCATTTATGGTATTATACTTTTCTAACTGTATCAGTCATTGAGAAGATTTTTGTTATTAACTGTTTGAGTAAATTAACTTATAATTTAGGATACTAATTGATACGATAAACATAAGTCAATTTTATTGATTCATTTTCAGAGAGAGAGAGAGCGATTAGTCCTGATATTTAAATCTTAATTTTATTGACACTTAAGTGGTCTATTTAAGTCTGTATCTTTCAGTGGTTTCTGTTTCAATCGACTTCTAATTATGATTATATATTTATTTAATATTTTTAAAAATAATAATGCGATTTTACTAAAGTAGACGTCTGTTCTTCTGGTTAGGGATCATTTATTCAATATCGGATCACTTAGGTGTTGGGAGAGTAATTGTTTCAATAACTCAATCTCTTGATACAGTCATCAATTATCCATAACGTATAATTGTATTTGATCTATCGACTAGTATTCTGTTCGTTCATTTTAAGTTATTGCGTTTTAAAATAACATTCAAATAATTGTGCTACTGATAGCCTTGATTTTATTTTTTAATAACCACCTATCGTTGTATTTACTGTCTTATTTATAAATATAAGTCATGGATATCTACTGTGGAAAACTATCTCTAATAAGACTTATGTTTATCACTGTATACCTTCCTATAATTTTTCTTTCGCAATATTGATAAGTCTTGTGAATTGAACGCTATATTCGTCTTCTAAGCTAATCTGTAACCCCCAAGCTAGAACTATACAGTGACCTGAACACGAGAGAGAAGACGCAAAGTATGCGAGAAGTAGTTTATTTCAAGGTTCATTTTTATACGGAAATTACAGGGTTTTTATAATATTTTTAATGTCCTTGGGTTATTAGAAGATTCTGGAGTGCTACTAAACATAGTAGCAGTGTAGCAATCAGCCAATCAGAACCTCTGCATGTGACGTTTCACTTTCTTGATGTTTTTGGCTAAAACTTCGAGTAAACGCTGATTGGATGAAACACTTCCTAGTGTTTCCTGATGCTTGCTTGTCTTTTGCAAACAATTCTCTGGATCACTCCAACACATGTTATGTATTGAATGAAAATTACCTTAAAACCTTTTCAAATCTTAATTTATAATATAAGTCAATACTATTAATCAGTATTTCAGTAGTCTATTCCATTCTTATATAATCCAAGGGTTATTTCCTAAGGATTAGTAACTCGTTTATTACAAATCTTCATTTTCATTAACTTGAAACAAATATTATTTATTTTTATTCAATACTATTTATTAATCTCATAATTAGTGTCTCTCTGAACAGCACATTTTATGCTTTTCGAAGAATATACCTCCAGACAACGGTTGATTTATTGTAAATTAAGTGTTAATTACTGTTGAATGTTTAATCCATTACATTTTATTAGGTAAATATCTAATTAATAATCATTTTGTATTTTCTAATTCTGCTCGCTTTTTTTTAAGTTTATAAGTCATACATTTATAACGTGTTATTTGTTTCTAATTAGTTGTATGTATATATTTTTGTTCGATAATTGTATTTCTAGAATGTTTAGTATACCACAACATATCTATACGATCGTCTAATTTTGTTTTACTAATCTATTTTTGACGTCTCCCATTCCCTTCATTGATCAAAAACATTAATATTCACTACTATTTTTACTTGCTTTATTTTTTTCAAGATCTCATCAACTGGATCCAATCCAGATCTGGTACAAAGTAACGTAGCACCAATTTCGAAAAGTGAAAGTCCTCTCAACAAATCCACTGAAAGTAAACCTGTTAAAGAATCCATTCAACCTAGTGGTGATACATTGACGAAAACCATTTCATCAACTATAAAAGCAAGTGATCCAAAACTACCGACTACTACTGATGGTAGCAAAATACCTGAAGTTTCAACCATTGCAGGAGCTAGTGATATTAAAATCATTTCACAAAAACTAGAGCTTGAAAATATATCTATTAAACATAAAGACAGTTCTCATAAAATACCAAGATCGTCTGTTGTTAGTCCATCTGCTCTTGTATCAAGCGACGGTGGTGGTACTCACTCACCAGACACAGAATTGGAGCTAACTAATCTACGCTCCGAAATAACAACACTACATGATCAAATTGAGGCCTTAAAAATGAAACGAGAAGAAGATAAAACCAGAATACAAGAATTAGAACGTATCAAGATTCAATTTACTCAACTCGAGGAAAATCGACGTTTAATGAGAGAACAAGCAGCTGAATTACAACGTGAAATTGCACAACTAAAAACAGTATGTTTTTTTTATTCTACCGATTGTAATGATTGTCTAGAATAGATTTAGTTTAGTATAAGGCTATTGAAAAGCGGTCATATCTACATATTAAAATGCTTACCCTTCTTTCTCTTATTATAATATGCTGTTGGTGTTAATTCATCAACTCGATCATTTTGGTTTCTGACTAACTCGTTTTTAGTTTGGCCATCAAATGTGAACAGACGGCTCACTGAAGTTAAAGCATTTATTTTTCGATCAATAACTTTTAAGGTGGCACGTTGCTCCATCTACTGTTTTATCAATTCAATAATTTCCCCATTCCTCATATTTAAAATGAGGGACTCCAATTATCCCGGATTTTTCTTGTGGTGCGGGACCATAGTTGTTAAAATGTTCGGTTTCAAAACTGTCCTTCTGAGGTTCCTATTCTGGTTCACCGCCTTTGCTTTAGAGAGCCAGATAGGAACACTAACCTCCACACTAACTGTGACGCTAAACAGAGCATGTCAACCTATACTTCGTAAATATGTTTTGGAAAACCTTGTTTTTAGTTTCTGAGCTGTATTAATTTGATTTATTGTGGGTATTATATCGATGTCGTTAGGTTAATCACACAGTAGTAGTAATTAGAGCTTCCTAGAACAGTGTATTAATAAGACACTAGTTATCAAATATCATAAATATCACTTAAACCTTATTTATGATCTCAGGGTGCTATTAAAAATCAGAGAGGACTAGAAAGCTTTTTCATCCTGGTATAGGACTCCTCAGTCGAGTAAACTCGGGATATATAGGTATTTTGTTCGGCTTGACCGTTGTTGTTACCTTGACATGGTGGTCGGGCTTGCCTATCGTGATGGACTAATCGAGCTATACCGGTTGGAACAACCATTCCTCAAGGTCCTACCATGCCAGACAGGTCGATTGAAGAACGGTATGACTAAAAGCAACAAACCCAAGGTCGAAGGGCGAAGTCTTACTGCTGACTGTACAGAGGTGTGACGTCAGTAAAGTGTTTCCTTCAGACAAGCATTATAACAGCGATGCTGCCTTCCCACAAGGAAAGGTGGGGTTAAAAAAGGTTGACCCTAGAAATCCACACTTCGCCTTATCCCACGGATATCCGTCTCCGGCGGCAAGGTTTTAACAAGTATGGAGCAAACACAAAACTTGCAAAAAGATCGTGTGTGATTGACCTCAATCAGTTGTCCCTTGGACACTGCGGTCACGCTCTCAGGTCACTAAGACCAACCCGATTTCCTTTTCAGGTACCTGCAGAAGAGCCCTTCCACAGTGTTGGCAACCGGGAAGTGATAACCGCCCTCATACCTTCAACAGCAGTCAATCACTGATTTGGTTCGAACACTAAACCACTGAGTCGGTTCAATGACACAATTCCTATTACAGTCGATTTGCAATACGGCCTGATGAAACAGTTGTCCAATGTGTACTCAATGGTTTTCATGATTACTCTGATTTAAATCAATCTATGAGAAATACAATTTACAAATTAAATTGGTATTCACAAAATTCTTTTAACTAGTGATAATTTTGTAGGTATCATTACCAAGGTTTGATTTGATAATTTCTAATAAATTGAGCATTGGGTAGATTGTTATAAACGAACCAATATATTTGTAATATCCCTATGATAATTTTCTTTTTTTATAAATAAAATAAAGGAAAAAGCTGAAATTAAAGAAGCATTTGATCGTTACCGTGATGAAGTAGCTGAACTGGTTGAAAGTGTGGAAATGGCTACATTAGATAAAGAAATGGCAGAAGAAAAATTAGAATCATTAACTACAGAAATTGAATTATTAAAAGAACAAATAGAAGAATTGACACTTGAAAATCACATTTTAAAAGAAGAATCTGAAGAGAAAGGTTTGTTTGTTCATATATATTACTTATAATCAGGATTTTATGAAGATGGCTGGAGTTATTTTGAGTTACTTTAAAAATATTACTTATAATTTTAATTAAGAAAGATTAGTTCAGCGAAGAGTTCCCTTTTCAGCGAATTTATTTTCAAAGCTGTACAATCGCAAATACATATACTTATATTAACAGGATGATAATAATACTGATAATAAACTTCTGTTAGGCATGTTGACAGTGATGTTGAGTAAACAAAGTTATTAAAAAAAATTCTTTTAAAAACAAGGAAAGTTTAATAATCGTTTGATTGTTAATGCCATGTATATTCATCAAAGGATAGATAGGGAAATTATCATTGGGAAAGGTTGGCTCAGCATGATAAGATAAATGTTGAGATTGAGATTAAATGTAATGAGGATGATCGTGGAAACAAAATGAACCATTTGGGGGTAGAAAATTTAAGGAGAAGATGGAGGGTGAAGCAGATGGCTTTAAAGTAAGAAGAGTATAAAGAAAGAGGAAAATTAGAAATAAAAGATAAATATTATAAGACATCAGGACCATGGTAGAAGAAGTTGTACCAGTCGCTTTTGCACACACAATACTGGTTTTTCCAGATGTATGGCTAATGCTTCGGCAATGCAAAGAATATGCAGTCTAATTGTTTTTGGGAGACTCCTACTTACCTTGTACATGACTTTGAACGCAGAGTCTGTCTTGAGTGAGTGACCTGTGTTCACAAGGTGTTCGATTAACGAGCTTCTTATCGAACCGATTCCTCCTCTTTTTAGCTATGCCGGACAATGTTCGTGAATTCTTTTGGATAAAGTACTCATCAAACGACCTATATACCTCGCTCCACTCGAGCAGGTAAATGGACAAAATGCACATTGAGTTGGTCAGATGCGATAATTCATCTTTAAGATTGTTGGTGATTGGCTGGAGAATAATATTCGCAATGTTGTTGCCGGGAATGTTCTTTTTAATGAATCTGAAGTTCTCCTTTTAGGGGTGTGTGTGGCTCTGTCACCCTTGAATTCGATGTTCATGTATAAAGTTTTCTTTACTACTATAGTTATCTGTGTTTTCAGCGTTTTCGGCTTTATATCCTTATCAATGAAGATCGAAGGATATCCGTTCTTAATAAGTATCTCCTTCAAATGGCCCAATTCTTCATCTATGACTTCATGACTACAGATTCGTCGTATTCTTGTTGCGAGTATTATTATTAAGTTTCTTTTTCGACTAATAGGGACCCAGCTGTGGAAAATTGACAGTTGGCCATTCCACTTACAATTTTGTTAAATAATCAGAAAACTGAAATTTTTCGGAGTTGTTGTAGTTTTTTTATCATTACATTTCACTGATATTCACGATTTTATCTTCTGTCAGTTGGGTACATGACAGTCTGTGAAGTCATTGATTACTCAACTAGTCCATATTAGTAGATTTAGAGTAACCTGGTTGGATCTCGTGCAGTTATCAACATCAGTGGTTAGAGACGTTGAGTCTTATGATATAAATTCGATTTCTGTGATGCACATACATTCAATTTTTATCTTTCCCTAGATTGAATTTTAAAAGTATTCTATACTATTTTATGCTGAAAGATCATTCATCCTTCGTGAATTATATTCTCTATATCTAGTGCTTCATTGTTACCATACACTATTACTATTATCAAAAACGACTAATTCAAATCAGAGCGCGAAGTTTGACTGAATCAGTTTGTATGACAGTAGTAAGGTCTTTCCCTTAGGAAACCATCATGTGTAACGATTCTGCTTTCGCACACCAAAAGATGGGACTAGCAAATGTTGGATTCAAATATAGCATACCTCGCCTTGGCAGAAGAATTTCTGGTAAGGCTTTAAAAGTACGGACCTGACACATCTGAAGCTACTTACGAAAAGGCCTTGGGTACTGGCTTCAAGCATCTGTCTTTCGGACCGTACAATCATGCTTCTAGGTCGGTAAAACTATTAATGATCGAGTCTTTTTAAGGTACTCCGACATCAAGTATCGTTTCACAGTGTGGCGATCTGGAAAGTAACTACCTTCCAATTACTTCAAACGGCACTCGAGATTATCGTGCTGTTATATCCAGATGACATTAGTAGAGAATCGGCTCCATATCATAGGTTAACATAGTTTAGAAATGGTTTTGATTATGTCCCGGTTCAACAGCCTAATGTCTTCGTATTTGCGTCTAAGGTTTTTGGTTATAAAGAAATGTTGAACCAGGAGCAAATGTCTAGTCAGGCAAAACTGCCATACCGCGCATCATCACAGTACAAATTGTCAACGTGAATTCCGAAGCAATTTAGCATCAGTGATAACAATCAAATATTAGGCATAGGGAATATAATTCATGAAGCATGGATCAATTCTCAGAATTAAACGGTATAAAATACTTTTGAAACTAAGAGTCTAATTAAAGTTAAGGACTAAATATATCTGCATCATGACAACCAGTTACGCGCCATGTGAAACAACGTTTCCAGCCGTTGATCACAACAGTCGCACGGGTTGTATAGACCAAATATTCACACTACGTCAGGTTCTAGAACACAGACACACGTTTAGACGCCCAACAATGGTAGTACTTCTCGACCTTAAGGCGGCATTCGACTCTGTTGATCGTAAGGTTCTATGGCAGTGTTTGTCACTGAAAGGAGTACCGAAGAAGTACATTAACCTTATTCAGGTCTCTACTCGAACACAACTGGTAGAGTGAGAGCTTATGGCGAACTGTCATCAGAATTGATTACCTCAAGTGGTGTTCGTCAGGGCTGTCCACTCTCTCCTTTCTTGTTTAACTTTGTCGTTGACGTGCTTTTAGACATGACACCTTCCTTATCTAAATTTCCAGGGGTTGAACTTCTACCAGGAGGTTCACTTGTTGACTTAGAATATGCCGATGACATAGTTTTATTTGGCGAAGACGCTGACAAAATGCAGAGTCTTCTGACCACTCTAAGCAACAATGCAAGCATGTTCGGGATGCGATTCTCTCCCTCGAAATGCAAAATGTTGCTTCAGGATTGGGTTACATCGACACCCGAACTAGTGATAGGGAGTGAAGTAGTTGAGTGTATCGACCGCTTCACTTATCTTGGAAGTCTCATCAGCCCTTGTGGTCTGGTGTGTGACGAAATCTCAGCACGGATACAGAAGGCTCGACTAGCTTTTACCAACTTGCGTCATTTATGGCGTAGGCGAGATATCCGTCTATCAACCAATGGACGGGTTTACTGCGCAGCAGTCCATTCCGTCCTACTTTATGGCAGTGAAACATGGCCGTTAAGAGTAGAGGATATCCGTAGGTTACTAGTATTTGATCATAGGTGTCTTCGAAATATTGCTCGTATATCCTAGGACCACCGAGTAAGTAACGCAGTTGTTAGGAAACGGGTACTAGGTAAGGATGACAAATCAATTGATGAAGTGGTGAAACTTCATCAGTTGAGATGGCTGGGACACGTGTTACGTATGCCCAACGACCGACTGCCTCGACGTGCGATGTTCAGTGGTATAGGAGTAGGTTGGAAGAAAGCTAGGGGCGGCCAGATCAAAACATGGCACAAATCCATGAAGTCACTGACAAGTGGTCTGAGTCATGTCGGTAGGTGTAGACTACCTGGTTGGGGACCGCGAGATGATAGCAACCGATGGTTAGAGACCCTGAATGACATGGCTCAAAATCGTTTGCAATGGCGCAGGTGCATCCACTCTTTGTGTTCTCCCAAATTCTAATCTTCTGAATTCTTCATGTCCCTTTTTTCCTCTTTCCAAATTTATTTCACTGAATTATACTCTTTAAATAACATCTCCAAACCCTAATTTTCCCGATCACTGCTTACACTCTTGCTACCTCTACCACAATGGGATTTGAATCGACAACTGCATCTCTGTGTTAGGGTGGTGTGGCAACTCGAACTGATGTACGTACGTACGAAGTTCTACGTTGTTATTGACTGACTGACTGACTGACAGTCGCACGGGCGTTAACCACTCGAATTTCTGGTAATGTTGTCAGTACCCATTGTATAAAACGAAAAATCTGTCAATACCCCCGTTGTTTTAAGTGATTTTTAAGCTTATGTTCATTGATGTAAAAAGCCGTCTCCAAACTTAATGAATTAACACACACACACATCAATTTTCATATAAAATAACTATTTAGTCTAAAATTAACCATTTACTACTCTGTATAAATTTCTGCATGTTCTTGCACTATTTTTTTCACATCAATCGATTACCTCTACCTTTTGTTATAACCCTTTGTCTTTATCTCCAATTGTCAAATCAATCGTTACGCAACTTTTACAGTCCCTAATATGCACAAGTCTCCAGTTAATTATTAATATCGACTATTTAGATTGGGACTTTAAAAGTATGTTCAAATCGCTCTCATATCCATTTCAATATATTTCCTTAATTAGTGATATAACTTTCAACGAGTTTCGGATTTGTACACTTGACCATGTGTAGACGTTTTTGCTGATCTCAATGATAGAGTGATATTATACCACTTATCTGTAAGGTACTCATATATATTTTCATAATTTCGATAAATTTGATTTTTTTAAACATCGACAGGAGGAGCAAGCACGTTACCTGGTGCAGATGGTGGACCAACTCCATTACAATTGAAAAATCTTGAACAACAAAATGAACGATTGAAACAAGCACTTGTTAAACTAAGAGATTTAACTAATCAAGATAAACAAGAAATAACTACTTTAACTAAACAAGTAAGTTAACTTTTTGTGTGAAATAAATTCAACCATACAATTAGTTAATTGTAAAACCTATGGTTCATTTAACTCAATCATTTCAAATAAAATCTCACATTATAAGGTTACGTGTTGTTTTTTTCGAAATCCACTCTACATACTCCATTCGCAAACAGTGGATAGCTTTGCGTCCAGTGCTCTTTGATTTCATTCATTGACTTATGTGAAAGTGCGTGACTTAAACATCATAGCCAGATTCAAAAAAATCTTCCTTAAACCAATTAATACTTAGTTAAATCACTTTTCATAAATTAAATAACTGTCATTACATTAAAATATTTCGTAAATTCTTTTGAATAAGTGACTTCTTTCAATATATCTGGTATGAGATTAGCAGTAGCATCCAAGATATGAATTTCATACCGGTTCAGAACTCATTAGCTTGATGTTACTTCATCCACTCTCCCTTAGTTTTGATGTTCACACTAGAACTTGAACAAGAAATTACAAACTCTTATTAATAATTTACTTCATATATCTTAAAGTTTCTTTGTTTCTCTTCCTTATTGTGATAGATTACATCTTTGGAATCTCAAATTAATCAACTTCAAACAGAGAAAGAACGTCTAACTAACGATTTAAAAGAAAGTATTGAACAAACTATCGAATTGAAAGAACAAGTAGACGCTTCACTTGGTGCTGATATAATGGTTAGTCAATTGACACAACGTAATTTAGAATTGGAAGAAATGCTTGAAAAAGTTAAAGAGGAAAGAAATGATTTGGTAAGTGTATATGTATCTATACATGACTTTAGTTCATTGAGTTGGCTGTCATTAGTTTTTCCATTGATATACAACACAAATAAATAATATGTTTAATTTACCCACAAAAATGATATTTTATATTCTAAACTGTTGTCTGTTTCAAATTAACAGTTACAGTGTGTAGTCGTTTACAGCTTCTATCTGAATTACGCGTCCATGCAGAATTTATGCAAGCTCATTTCTAAAGTAACTGTTGACTATCGACCAGTGTTGCTAGACAGAGAGTGAAGTGATGTGCGTTGTGAAATCTTATTCTCTCATCCATGTGTTAAGATACACATCTTAGCTAGTTACCATTGCAACAGTAAACATTTTAAATCTAAAATAAGTACAATAGCTCTATTTCACAGCATTGTGAATTGTTTGTTTTAAGAGGGCTAATGCCATTAAGATGTTGCCTGATTCGCATCAACTTACAAAAATTGATTGTCAGTGAAACATTTAGTAAAAGAAATCCATTGATGATTTATCTTAAATGACTAGTTTCATTGTATAATTTCATAATCAATTAGTTTTTTAATTGTTCCAACTACGTACTTTTTGTGTCACCTGAGATATTCATTCATTTTGGTGGAGTTTTGTCCTTAAGCTGGATGGTTTGGTTGTGGAGCTTTCATCGTTCTTCTGAACGACATTATTATTATTTACCTATTTATTTATTAGAACACATAGATATTAGTACAAGGGGGCGCCAGATACCTATGCGCCACACAAATCTCATTTGATATGTGTGAGGGCTGTAATACTGCCCGGGTGCCCAAACCTAAGCAGGTGGTTTTCTTAGGGAGCCACACCCGGAGCCTTTGACCTGAAGGTCTGATCCACAAGGCAGTGGGGCAACGTAAGGAGATGCAGTCCCATGGTAGCTAGCTGGTGACCAATAATAGGTTCATACACTATTTGTTCCTTCAAGATCCTGGAGCTCATGTGCACCATTGGTTTGGAATTAGGGTTTTCCAACTCTCCTAGGTGGACTCTCCGTGTCCACCAACCCGGTTAAAGCGTCGGACATTAGTTCTTCATCCTCTCAATTTTGTAAGCAACACCGCCACGAGAACGCAGTGAGTAGGGCTTCCTTGGCAAAGGCTATATATGCGTGGCCATGTGAGAGCATTTCGAGAGAGAGCGGTCTCCTCCCCCACTCTCGACCGTATAAGGGCATTTGAGGGCAAGGAAAGACTTCATCAACAGCACAAACTTCAAGTAGAAGTGAAGTGTTCGAACTTCTCTACATATGACTCACAGCTTGCCCTGTAGACCTCCGTCTTAATTTGTTATTGTTAACTTTTAACCTGTCATTGTTTACTTTTTTATTTTGATTGTATCTCCGATTGATTTGATTCTTGGTCCTACATTTGGCCATAATTTTTCTAATTGGTTGATAAGTTGAATCGATTTCAATGTGTTTGTTGATTGTTAACTGACCTGAGTGCCAAGCTTCTAAAAAATCCTCTGGTGTTGTTAAAATATCCTCTATCTAAGATCTCAACATTTTCCCAGTCTAATGTGTGTCCACAGTTGTCCACATGCATTGACATAAGCGAGGATATATCATGGCGTTTGACCGCTAATGGACGTTCGTGCAGGCGAAGATGAAGAAGGCGTCCATTTTGTTCGACGTAGTGTTTTTCGCAGCTGGAACAATTTATTTTGTAGATGGTATTCAGTTTTCTTCCTTTGTCATCTCATCCTTTGGTTTGCATAGGATTGATTGAAAAAATTATCGTAAATCTGAAATGTTGTGAAAAGCAATATTTAGCATTATAAATATAACTTGTTACACTCATTTTGTATTCCTCCTTTTTTCTAAAATAGGAAATACTATGTGAAATGAATGATGAATTACAAGAGAATAGTCGTGAAACTGAGCTTGAACTTCGTGAAGAAATTGAACGAGCGAATACAAAAATAAATCAACTTGTACGTCATTTAGATGCTACACGTGAAACCATTGCAGATTATGAACAAACATTAGGTAAATTTAGAGATTTAGTCGCCGATTTACAAACTCAAAATTCTGATCTTCAACGATCATTAGCTGATGGAAAACGTTTACAAGAACAACAACAACAACTACATACAACAGTTGCAACAGAATTTGCTAGTTCTGCAGTTCCATTTATGGGAACCAAGTTTGGTGCCACTTCTCAGGCGCAAACTCTTGCTAAAGTAATTATTTGTTATTATCACCATGGTTCTTGTTAATACAATGTTACTATGTTAACATTCATTTTAGTTACTCATCGGCATCGAGTGGGGAACTACACCGAACGATTAACCACTAGTAGTTTTTTTTTCTTGTATGAAACTCTTTGGCAGCGCGTACCTGTGACTCTGCTACTAATTTCACTCAGGAATCTTTGGCTTCGCTACAAGCTCGTAGTGGACCATTAGTAAAGCAATAGTTTAATCGTCAAAATCTTTGACTTTCAACCACTAGGTCATAGGTTTTTATCCTCCTCAACTACTTCGGTTTTGGCGGTCATGTACCACTAGCCCTCAAACATAAACTGTGGCCCAAAGTTGAGTATATGGATCTGTACTTGGTAACCCACGTATTCGTCGCTAGATTACTATATGAAAATTCTGTCATATGCATCTTTATAAACTGTTTAGTCATGCATATATTGTCGTCAAATACTGTCGTTGATATCAAGCAACATAGATTCCACAAATCTCAAGTGCAACAAACAGGTATTGATTTCCGTTGTAGAACAAGTTCAGTTGAAGTCTGTCTTTTCAGTTACCTTCACTATTGAATTGTTTGTTCGTGATGAAAACCCTAAATCTAATTCCTAACCTTAACTATCAGCCGTAAATCCTAATCCTAATTTCTCACACTGGTGTATAACCCTCATTCAACACTAGTAAGTAGGTGAACATTTTCAAGGGCATTTTAGTGTGGTTTAAAGACCTTCCATAAATTATAGTCTCACCTATTTATTTATTTTGAAAATCTATATTGATGTTTTCATTGAAATATAATTTGCTTTCAGTTATATCATTTCGTTAATATCATTCCTGTTATTCACCAAAATCTTTCAACTTAACTAACTCTTCTTAATATTGATTACGTGCAATCCTACCATTGTAATTATTTTTATACTAAAATCATTATACTTCAGCAATATATTCATCAACTTTTTATTCACTCTTTATTGAAAAGGTGATTGAAGTTGAATTGAGACGTCTTGAAGCAGAACAAAGTGCAAATCATGTAACTCGTTTATCTGCTTTTCTTCCGGATTCATTTTTACGACGTGGTGGTGATAATGAAGCATTATTAGCTCTTCTCTTAATCGATCGTCTAGCTGGAAAGTGTGACCTATTAGCTAATCATGTGAGTAGTGAGTGTGTTATCCAAAAATGTTGCACTTTAATTTTGGTATACTTATTTTTACTCAAGCACTATTGATGTCCCTATTGGAATGTCTCATAAATATATCGCGTATTGGAGTTAGATCTGACCTCATGTTGAATGAGAGAGTAATTATCTTTCACCCCTCTATACACGTTATATGTATATGGGTTAACCAATAATTTATGATAGTTCAACTAATAAAGCAGAAACATAGCCTATCAAAGGAGAAGATATACGTAGTCCACATTAAGTTATTCATCCTGTTGAATGATCGTTCTTTTTCACCATACTACTACTGTGGGGTGTGCTACTTATATTGACATAAGTAGTAGATGATGTTAGTCGTGAACTGAAGGTCTGGCAGCAGCAAAGAGACAAGAGGATCGAACAGTAAAGAATGGAAACAGGATGCGATTTGTATGAAAATGCAAGAACAATGAAGTCTGAGTCATTTTGAGACAATTGGTGGAGATTTTGCAAATTAAGCATTTACTTTATGATTGCTAGATTTTATTAACAAGTCTTGCAATGTTGTGTTAAATACATTCTATTGTCCCCACTGATGTTCTTGTTTACTACACAACTACGCTACTTCGTTTACCATAAATTCATCTGATAGTAGTCCAATTTTAAACCATCGACACACATTAAACGTGTTTTTTATTTATTTCAGACTCATCAGTCTTCATAAAAGCACAAGAAGAATTGTATCCTATCGAAATTTTAATAAAATTTACTCTCATAATTAATTTTATAAAAGCGTCGATATTGCTTTTTATATCAGTTTGGGGATTTGTGGAGATTGTAGTATTTTATCAGTTGGATTCACGAGTCGGTTTAAGCTAGACCACCATTGAAAACCTGGAGGCACTGGACGGCCTTTTCGTCCTTGTATGGGACTTTTCAGTAGTGCGCTCAGTGGTTTTAAGGTTAAGTGTTCGCGCGCAAGACCGAAGGTCCTGGCTTCGAGTGCCACGTACGGAATCATGGATGTGCACTGCTGAGGAATCCCATACCAGGACGAAAAGGCTGTCCAGTGCGCTTCCAGGTTTTCAATGGTTGTCTATCTTAGATCGACTCGTGAGTTCAACTGTTTTTTATATCTTTTTTTTTGAACGTAACTTTTAAGTTCGTATCGTAATTAAACACACCATTCTGTGTATTAAATTCATTTATTTTATCACCTACCCAACTTTCGTATTGTTGTTTTCTTACTTTCATTCATTAAATCTACGTAAATTCAGCTTGCTGAACGTTATCCTTTACCTCCGTGTGTACCTGGTCAAACATCATTGCAACTTCCTCAAACAGATAGCAATGCTGTAGATAGTCAAACGACTACTGTTAGTGGAATTTGTATTCCGGGCACTGATAATCCATTACCACCGTTAACTAAAAGTAAAGCCGAATTTTACAGTTTCGTAACAAGATTAATTCATTTGCTTCGATCATTGGGCTCTTTATTAAATCAGTACAAGCAGTAAGTATATTCATAACTGCCATGTTTATAGCAATATTTAAATCACGTTCCGATATTTTTACAATAAGTCTGTTCAAATATACTTAGTTTTTGGTAAAATGACGACCACGGTACTAGTTAGGGTTGAAATCCTTATTGTGATATACATGTATATGCATATTTCTACTTTGATTTTAATTGAATTGGATTTAATTGGATTAGCTACTAATGATTTCTGGCTTATTGATTAATTTGTTCTATAAATTCACGGATTGTAGTCACAACAGCTCTACTTTAAATCTAGGGTATATCAGTCCTATTCCTGTCAAGATTCTCTTTATTTATGGGACAACTGCTCGAGATCGGTCACACACGACCTTTTTATGGGTAATTTATGTGTTTGCTTCATACTTGTTGAGACCTTGCCGCCGGAGACAGATATCCGTGGGATAAGGTGAAGTGTGGATTTCTAGGGTCAACCTTTTTTAACCTCACCTTTCCTTGTGGGAAGGCAGCATCGCTGTTATAATGCTTGTCTGAAGGAAACACTTTACTGACGTCACACCTCTGTACAGTCAGCAGTAAGACTTCGCCCTTCGACCTTGGGTTTGTTGCGTTTAGTCGTACCGTTCTTCAACCGACCTGTCTGGCATGGTAGGACCTTGTGGAATGGTTGTTCCAGTCGGTATAGCTTGATTAGTTCATCACGATAGACAAGCCCGACCACCACGTCAAGGTAGCAGCAACTACGTTTATGAATCCAGTGTTCATCTTGTGTTAATGAGGTATGGCAACTTGGACCGATGCGTATATGTGCCTGGTCCTACGTTGTAGCTGACTGACTGACATTTATCTCATCTCTTGTTCTACTACACACGTTGAACCCATCAAAAGTCAGGCTCTCTTGTCGTTACACTTTTTATCGTCTCTGTTTTGTTTCATTTTGCCATTTAATAACTATAAAAGGTCAGAAAGAGCTAAATCTGATAAGTGGACAGGTTAATTTACCATGGTAAGTTAATTGGAGATGAAAAACTCACAGACAATCAATGATAATTGTGTTAGTTCATTTCACGTATCTATTACACAGATGTTGTCCATATAAAGAAATTACAACTTGAATCGATTGCCAAAGTTGGGATTTCTTGATATGGTGGGCGTTGAAAAACAGTGTGACTGGGTCTCTGTTTAGCCGTGTCCATAATATGCGGCTTGAGTACTTAAGTTCTTTTATTAATTGGACAAATTATATATATATATATATATATATATATATATATATATATATATTGGCAGTGGCTGGAAGTAGTTCATCAATGATTCTAACCATCACTAAAGTTTGTTACATAACGTCACAATGTACAACAATGTCACGTTTGTGACAGTAACCCATGAAAAACTCCTGACTAAATTAGGTTAGGATTTATCAGAAATTTGTACGTTCAGTTCCGAAAGTACATTTTTACCTCACTCAAATTTAAAATCGTTCAGTGTAACGTCACTAAACTATTACAATCAAAATTGAAACAGTGTAAAGAATCAGTTAATTCCATAGCTTCGTTTATGTTCAGTTTGACTGTTAGCTCAGTGATTACATCGGATTCATTACGTTAACTACTAGTACCAGTTTTTTTACAGTCATATTCTCTCTTCTAGTTTATGAAATGCATTTTAATTTACTTACTTAATTATACGAATGTTATAACTGTGACTGCGGATTAGACGGCAGTGAATTATCGATCGGATCAAAGACGCGTAAAACACGTGAGAACAACCTAGAGTCCTAACTGGTCCTACTTTCCTGTCTAGCCCAGCCAGTTGAGTCCAGAACGCAAGTCTCAGCCTCTGAGATATGAATCATTATATTTCAAGCATACTCTGTTTATATACCAATCAAGCAGACCACAACGTATCATAAAATAGAAAATAACATTGTACAATATTTGGCAGGAAAATGACAAATGAAATAAATATTGACCAGTAGGGAAACGACACGTGAAGTAAATATTGACCAATAGGAAAATGATACCATCTCAAGTCTAAGGACAGCATTAGACTTAACAGAATAATTTAAGGGATATTTTTTCTGAATATCCCAACAACGAAGGGTGTATTTTTTTTATTGACTGTGTTTTCAATGCCTGTACATCATAGTTCGTGGTTTATAAATCTCTCTTTTCATTCCAATGTTTCATGTTTGATTTGATTTTCGAAAAGATTCTATATGAATATTTAATATGCTCATATCTGTTTTATTCGGGGTTTTTTTTTGTTCCATATATATTTATTTCAAACAGAATCTTTACAAGTTGCAGTGTTGATCTGTATTTAAAATTTGGTTCTTTATACAATGAAATGTGTGTTCATGAACATTGTATTGATCGATTAATAGAACAAACTAAAAATGATCAATTAGATGAGACAATATCATTAGAATCATTAATAACATCATTTAATTATTTCATTCAATTATATAATGTTCATTTAAAAAATGAACCATTATTTAATTGTAATATTAAATTGATGGATTTTACACGAACAATTTTATCTGCAGTTGATGCTTTATCAGTTGATTCTATGGCTTTAATGATATTAACAGGAAAAGATGTTGATTGTTTATTAAAAATAGCTAAAATTGCTACTTCAAATGTTTCTGGTCCATTAAGTATGGGTAGTATGGATGAAATTGGTTCATTATTATTGTTAAAATCTTCAAATAGTAACGATAGTAATGAAGGATTAATTATTCTTCTTAATGAATTAGTACATTTTGCTACAACTGTACGTGTAATTATACGTCGAATAAAACGAAGAATTCCAAATAAACCTATTGGTCAACAACCATTATCATTTAATCAAGATATTGCACAGAAATTAGATACAGTTATTCAATTATTTGATTCAATTGTTGGAACTATGTACACAACAACTCGTTTGGCAGGTCAATTAACAGTTCGTCAAGTGGTATGTTCTTTTTCTCTTTGTATAAGATTAATATTTTGAAGAAAACTATGTAATACCTTAGTGATTTATGGCTACGTTAAAAATAACTTGGACGTTTTTTATATGTTATCTCTTAGCCAAATGGTTAAACAAATCATTCGGTCAGTCTTAAATTATTCTATTTTCAATCATCATCAGATTCTAATTTCGAATGTACTTTGATTTAATTTGTTCCACAGCATCTGGGTGATAATAAGTTAACGTTTGAGTTAAATTTGAAATCGTTGATCTGTACTCGTGCTTAATAAATTGTATTTTATTTGTTTCTGATCTATTCGCATTGTTTTTATGTTCAACTTTATTCTTCTCATTTGTGCTTAGTTTATTTATAATCCACTGGCAGTGTTGAAGAGGCTGACACATTTGTTCACTTTATTAGTTAAGAAGTTATCAAATGAATCCATGAAATCCGATAAGCCCCAAAGGAGTAATTAAACTTGAAATTAGCCATTGCTCATTGGTCATTTAATTGTAAATATTTCAGTTTTACAAAATCCTAGTCGCGGCTTGGATAGCTAAATGGTATTGTCTCAGTTCGTAAAACAGTATGAAGTAAGTTTGAATCCTTTAGAGGGTACCAGTTTCCCAAGGATTGCAGGTACACTTTGATAACAAGTGCTAAGTAGCACGAAAGCTAAACCCGATGTTTCCGGTCAACTCCCTTCAACTAACTAACTAACAGTTTAAGGAGATTAGTTAAATATGATAATCAGCTGCAGTACAATAAAATACCTATTGTAACATTAATTTATCATTATTTCTTACATATTTCTCTTAATAGTGCTTTCTTAACAATAGATATCCTTGTTTGTCTTCTAGTAACATTTTTCATGTGTAATATTTCACAGGAAGATTCATCCAATCTTGAACCAAATGTTGTATTTACTCAATGTTTAACAGAAGCTTGTAAAGAATACTTAACATCAAATGATCTTCGAAATAGTAGTACTTCACGTTCTAGTGTTATTTCACCAGAAATATTAGTTCGTACTAATCTAAGTCAAATTGCTCGTATTATCAGTCAAATAGCAATAGCAATGGAAAATGGTGAATATGATTTTGATGGAACTAAACAACCATTGGTAAGTTTACTAAATTCACATTTATTAGTTATTAAGACCAAGTTCCTGTCTATAAAACCTTAATTTTCCATGATCTAACCCCGAAATGTATCGTGTGTCTAAATAGTTAAAAAGGAAGTTTTACAATTGTTTAACTGACATGAGAAACTGAACAAGGTTAACTAACATAAATATAACATTAGTTCTCCTTTATCGGTATGGTGTTCCAGCCAGATTGGCTGGTAAAACTTTCTCTGAGGAGGTCTATGTAGGCTCTTCTGAAATGGATTCCATGTTTTTCAAGGGGAATCGGTCCTTAGCACTGACTATCATATCTTTTTATTATGTCTTCGACCTGATGGGTTGGGCTGCTAATTTTATTAAACATACGGCAGACAACATTTCAGCTAACGTTTCCATTATACGCAACCACACACACACCCTTTGTATATACCTATATACATGAACTACATAGGCCTGTGGATTTTTTTAATTCTTATACATAAGCATACACATCAGGTAGCCTGGTGCGATTAAGTGTATCCCGAGTTAATCAAGGATACAACGAAGTGGGTAATTAGTCCGATCTCCGTCAACTACCTATGTTGTCTAGTAAGGTTGCCCCTACTATCAAACAGCGCCGCGAGAAGACCTCAGGTCATATTTTTGCTGCCTCTCTTGTGTTACAGCAAATATATTAGAATCAAATAATAGCGACTGATATACGATGATGTGAAAAATATACAAAAGAGAAGAAATTTCACTATTCTCAAAAATTACATAGTATTGATTTTGTTGTTGTTGAAATTACTGTCAGTTCGGTTTAATCGGTTGTTATAGTCTATAGTTTAGAAAGTAAACGATTTAAACATTTCACTTTGTAATCCTTCCTGGAATAGTTCGTCATCAGTTGCAAAGCAAGTCTGACCAATACCAAGTGATATCATGCTACTTTTAATTGTGAAAAAATAAACAAACACTAATATCTCGTAGCTGATATATATATTTCATCGAAAGGTGTATATGATTCAAATTGAAGGAATGTTCAAATTTTTCGCATTACATAATCACGACGAAATAGATAGAAAAGTATAGAAACAATTTGTCAGCAATTACAATGAGAAAAATTAGACATTGAGAATATGATTCGAAAAGATAGGTGTAAAGGAATACTGGAACTCAAAATTTAGCTGATAAGTAAATTCATCTGCACCATTGTGGCCGATTCTGAATCGTTTCGTTTACCCTTGTCAACCATTGGTCGTGATTATAATATCAACACCCAGCCACGTAGTTTAAATCTACATACATGGCTCAGATTAATAGTTAATCACTTCATTATTCACCAAGATGCTTTGGTTTGATTGACCTTAACTTTTATCCAACTTATTCTTACACCAACCGACATCGATTTGTCTAGGTATACAACAGTTAGACAAACGCAACACATGCCTCAAACACCTCACTCAATGAAAATTCACAGCATGTTAGACCGATTTTCCATCTTTACTCAAGTACTCTATGCTTAACGTTACGTACTAGATTGTTCCACAATAAACGAGTATATCAGTCAGTCAGCTACAACGTAGGACCAAACACATATGTGCAACGGTCAAAGTTGCCATACCTCATTAGCACAACAAGATGAACACCGGATTCATAGGAGTGGTTAGTTCAGTGGTGGTAATTTATAAAAGAAAGATTGCATATAAGGACATAGTACAGGAAGAAAGATATGAAGCGATTTTGATCTCATAGTTTATGGGAAAACAGAGAGTGTATACACCAACGCCATTGTCATCGATTCTGAGCCATATCACCCAGAGTCTCCAACCATTGGTTACGATAATCACGCGGACCCCAGCCGAGTAGTCTCCATCTACCAACATGGCTCAAACTAGAAGTTAGTGACTTCAAGCACTGATGCCACGTTTTGGTTTGGCCGCCCCTAACTTTCTTCCAACCATTCCCAACACTAGTCAGCATTGCACGTCGTGGTAATCGGTGTTCAGGTATACGTAACACGTGGATCAACTATCTCAGTCGATGAAGATTCATAACCTCATCAACTGATTTACTATCATTCCCTAATACCCTAGCGTCTAATATATTTATAACTTATAATATAGATCACAGATCGCTTTTCCTTTTTGTTTATATATGAATTTTTTGTTAATTACTAATACTTTTTCATGTGTTGATGTATTTATTCTATAATATCTAGCCTCAAGAGCCAGTTGTTGCACGTGCCATCGCCTATAAACGTGCACAAACTGAATTAGAAGGATGTCGTGCTAAATTAGAAAGTCGAGGTGAAGAATTACGTGAATTACAAAAAGCATTAAAAGCACGTGGTGATGAGCTTAGTGAAATGTCTGTTCGTGTTAGTTTAGCTGAGAAAAAGTTAGAAACTGCAGGAAAATCTAATGAAGAGAAAATTTCCCGATTAGAACAACGTTTAGAACAATCAGAAGCTCAGCAGAAACGTAATGAAAAGTATGTTTTTTTAATGTTTGTTACTACTTTTTAATAATTTTAGAATGTAAAGTTTATCAATCAACACGAAACGGTACCTTCATATAGCATAAACCTATCCACAAGAAAATGTTTCTTGATATAATTGTTATATTAATGATAATTCCATGGAAAATAAGGTTATCTCTGACGTTGAAATCTTGAGTCAATTGAAGCTAGACTACCACCATGGAAAACGTGGAAGCACTGGACGGCCGTTTCATCCCAGTATGGGACTTCCCAGCAGTGCGCATGCATTCATGATTTCAACCAGTGAAATTTCTAAAATCTTCACAAAACCCCTTGTGATTATCTCTGAAGTACCTACCTCTCGTTATTTCCTACATGAAAGTTTCAACTGACATTGCATTACATTAGCATTGAATGTGCAACTTTAACGAGTTTTGAATTCCAATAGAATAAATCATCGGTTGTTATCATTTTCCCACATTCTGTCATTTTCTAATGCGAACTTTATACACTGGTTTCTTAAATCAACAGTCATCAAATTTTGTGCACACAAGAAAAATGATTAAAAACCTAATATCCATATAACTGCATTAATATTACTTACTTGATTATAATCAGTAGTATGTGACAATGGACTGAATAGTGATGTTTCTCAAAGTGATTTATTTAGTGTTGATACAGAATTTTAAGATATTCTAGCGGAGAGTTTACCTATTTATTAGGATAATTTCTCAATGCTTACCAAGTTTTTAATTGATATAAAGTGGTATTTCCGTAGCAAATGTCCATTTCTTTAACCGGGTTAATGGATACGGCGGATCCATCTAGGGGAGTTGCAAAACTCATATTCCAAACTAATGGTACACATGGACTCCAGGATTCTGAAGAAATAAATGTTATATGGACCTATTGTTGGTCACCGGCTACCATGAGACTGCATCTCCTAACGTTGCTCCACTACCTTTTGAATTAGACCTCTAGGTCAAAAGTATGGAGAGTGACCCTCTAAAACGACCGGCCTTGTTTTGGGCGCCCGGACAGTATTCCAGCCTCACACAAATCATTCAGTTTGTGTGGCGCATATATATTTGTTTCTTCCTTACACCAATGTTTATGTTTGCGTGCTTCGGTTTGGACTCAGAGGCAATATTCGAGCCCTCACACATATCGAATAATCTATGTAGCGCATACGTATTTTGTGCCTTTTTGTACCAAGGTCTATGGGTTTAAATAAATAAGTGATAAAAGTTTATCCTTCAATAAATAAATTAATTGCTTCTTGAAATATTAGCGTGAAGTTATTCACAGATAAGTGTTTTACTACTAATATCTTTTACTGATCATATTTCAAACCTCCATTCCTGTTGTCAACTTTTTGTTGAATTAGTGCAGAGCAACATCCATAAATTAAATTTCATTCTTCATTTGACAAGATTTTTCAGACTACTTGTTGTGTAGGAAAAAATTCATGTTCATTTTTAAGTTAATATAAAATAGAGAACATAGTATACAAGTAAACATCGGTATATGTTATCACATCAACATAACAAGGTGTGTTTTCATCATAAATCATGCCTCACATAAATCACATTGACCGAAATGACATGGCATTGACTTGGTCGAACCTGTTTTTTTACTTGATTGCACCAAATATTCTTGCTTTGTTCCTTTGTACTATTTAAACTTTGGTTAATTTCATTTGTTTATTTACTCTCTGAAGAAGTAGATTACACTGAGTCACGAAACGTTAAAAAATCTTTTTTTTAAAACTCAATTTTTCTACTCATTGGGATATTACAAATATATTATTACAATCTACCCAATGCCCAATTTATTTGAAATTATCAAGTCAAACCTTAGTAATGATACCTCTTGTCAAACCGTTATGGCAAATAATTGGATTCATATACATTGTTTGTTTGTTTGTTTAGAAGAATTCAAGATTTGTATGCATTTTAACATTACTTGAGCAGTCTTAGAAAATAGATTACTGATTCAATAAAAGCATCTAGACTAACATCGGTTATCCGAATATTTCAATACACTATGCATATTTTTTTTGATTTTTAAAATAATAAATTGATTGATGATAGATATGTAATCTTAAAATGATACTATGTAACCCATTGATATAACTGCTCACTACGCCTGTTATTCAACCACGGAACATCCATAACAGAATGACAACTAAAAAAAATAGAGCGGAACAATAATAGATCCTTAAACCACAGTAGTATTGTAGTGAACGGAGAAATCAAGTAGGGAGAACCAATATCTTTATTAATACAAAATTACAATGATTTCGTAAAGTATGAAAACCATACATTAAATACATAGTTTGCACACCTTTAATCAGTTTTCCCTTACATGCTTGATGATTCTTTCAATTCTTTTGTGATTGTGGTTATTGTTTCCTCTTCTGTTCTTTTCAATTGAATATTCTACTGGCATACATCCCACTTCCGATTAGCGCTACATACTACTTATATCTGTCAACATGAGTAGTATGTAGTGTCGGTTATTATGTTAAGCCCATATAACTTATTCTAGGTTTCGGACAGCCCACTCTACTCGTTCTATTTGATTTACTTTTTGCCCTTGTTAATTATTCACTTATCAATCTTGACTGTTTTTATATGAGCGCGTAGGCCTGTGTACATTTCGTATCCAATTACTCATCAAATATCTGTAACTTACTTTTGTGTAACTATAAATATTGATTAACGCTTGCTTAAATAGTAGTTGACTTACCAGTCATCTCCACTCTGCGTCGTTTCTTTTCTCTCTATTCCATTCGTTTTATATACAAAATATATGTATTCACAAGTCCATTCTCGTTATTCAACTTATTTATTTCTATTATTCACTAACGTGATTTAAGTCGATGATTATATACGAGGATAGTCGATGACAAACATCATTACGATCTACTTGGAGTTAGATCTTGGGTCACTAAAGTGGTGAGCCCTTTCAACAACATTGCTCGATCTAAATGAGGACAAAATTACGGGCCCCACAAGTATATACCACAGTATTTGTTCTCCTGTTCACATAAAACAGTGTATAACATTATAAACTGAGATCAGGACTATAAAATTTATGACTGAATTTACAATTACTAATATACATCAATCTTCTATTCGTTTTTGATGGTAGTGCACTCCAAAGAAAAATTAAAGTAATCGAATATTCCTTATTCCAAGTGAACTATCTAATGAATGATTGATCTTTCTGTGATGTCTAGAAATAATTATTGTTGTAACGTTTAAGATTATTGTACACTTATTTGAGATTTGTTTATTTCAACAACAAAAAATTATTATAAACAGAGAATATGAACAAACCTTAGATGCACTTCAAGCAGATATTGAATCTTTGGAACAAGAAAAAGCAGATCTTAAAGAAAAATTAAAAACACTCAGTAAAAAAGCTTTATTTGAAGGAATTATTAAATCTCCATTGCTTCCAAGTAAGTAGAGTTGTGTTTTTCTTCTTTCTTTTTTTTATTTTTCAGAAGTTACAAGGTTGTTATATATCAATTAGAGTTCAATTTACACCTCTTGTGTTATGTTAGTTGATAGATAATTGTCGACTTTCTTTTTGTAAGGTAAATTAATTGAAGTGATATTCAAGCTTTTAATTCATGAGTTAGAATTAGAATATGGTTAAAGTATATAGGGACAGGTTAAACAGGATTAAGAACATAACTTTAAGCTTTTTGTTCGAAATTTAAATATCATGAATAATGAGTAGTGGAAATACTTTGTACACTACTGAAAACGATTGGAATGATAATTGAGAAATTATCACCATACAGTGAAATGATAATGTTACATTTACTAAATACTTAATTTTTTTTTCTATTGGTTGTTTGTAATGGACAAATTGACACTATCCTTAAATCATGATCCTCAACATTTAATCATGGAACAAGCCTTAACTTAGTGGCGCTAAATGTTATGGGAAAATTAATCAGAAAAAACCTTTTTGCATTTTCTCATGAAATTTGTTTACCCATATGGCTACCCAAATGCCCTGGTATGGCCGAGAGTGGAGTGGGCCCACCCTCTTTCTCGAAATGCTCTTACACGGCCACGCGTATACAGCCTCAGCCAGGGAAGTTCTACTCACTGCCTTCTCGTGGCGGGGGTGTCGTTTACGAAAATGAGAGGACGAAAAGCGAATGTCCGGCGCTTTAACCGGATTCCAAACCAATGGTGCACATGGGCTCCAGTATCCTGTGGGAACAAGTGGCGCACAAACCAATCTTTGGTCACCAGCCACCATGGGACTGCATCTCCTTACGTTGCTCCACTGCCTTGTGGGTTAGACCTCTAGGCCAAAGGCTTGAGGTGTGGCTCCCTAAGAAAAGCACCTGCTTCGGTTTGGGCAACCGGGCAGTATCACAGCCCACACACAAATATGATGAAAATGATGATATTCACTGAAAACTTTATCCTCGCTTCGATTTACAGACAAACAATTCACATTATTATTATTATTTACTACGTCATTCATTCGCTCGCTTTTATTCTCACTTTATGTATCCTTATTTTTCGACTTATACAGCAGCTCGTCTATGGTGGAAATTCGGCTCTATCTAAACGTTCTCGAGTCACTGCCTGGTTAAAAATTGTATGCTACCACCGAATACGAATACTGAAGCAGTTTTTCTGAAACCACGTGCACCATTCAAACTGGCTGCCCTCAACGTTCGCACACGTATGCAGGTTGGACAACAGATAGGGCTGGCTATGTCTTTGGAAAGTCTTAATATTGATGTTTGTTGTCTATCCGAGACCCGTATTCAAGACTCCGGCGAAGTACTACAAATTCGATCTCCATCTGTCGCTTCGAAAAGCTTGTTTTACGTGCGCTTATCCGAGGACCCTGTGACATCTTCGTCTGGTCTTGCTGGCGTTGGTGTCGCACTAAGCGCTAGAGCTGAGGCAGCACTAGTCGATCGGATTCCCATTTACAGTCGGTTATGTGCTGTTAGATTAGAGAGTTCCATCAAAGTGAGAAATCGGAGTGAGAAACAATGTCTTTTCGTCATCTCCGCCTATGCTCCGACAGATTGCAGCCCGGATGCAATCAAGGATGAGTTTTACCACCAGTTATCTGTTCTTCTCCAGAAAATGCGTTCGACAGATATTGTAGTACTAGCCGGAAACTTGAATGCTCAGGTCGGGCGTCTAGGCAGAGAAGAGTCGTTAAGGTGGCCGATGGGGACTTGTTAGTCGCAGGACAGATAGCGGGGATTGTCTACTGCAACTGTGCACAGACCACAACCTGTTTCTGGCCAGCACTAACTTTCTGCACAGTCATCGCCGATGTGCCACCTGGCGTCCTCCCTCTGCATCTCAAGCCTGGACTCAGATTGGTCACATCGCGATCAGCTACCGCTGGCGTGGTTGTGTAAAAGACTGCCGCTCCTTTTGGAGTACCTATCTGGACTCTGACCATGCCTTGGTCTGCGCCAATCTTACCTTACTTTTCAGTGGACAACGAAGTGATCGCCATCAACGGATTGATATTAGCAAGCTGGTTGCAACTTCTGTTGCAAGTAAGTATCGAACCGAGCTAGCTTCTAGGCTAGCTACCATTCCACCGAAAAGTATAGATGAGCATTGGTTGCAATCGCATGACGTCAGGAAAATGGCGGGTACAGTCAGTTGTAGGTTCGCGAAACGTCCCGTTTATAAGCGCTGGGTTTCTTCTGGTTCCTTACAACTCATTGAAGCCCGTCGGTCTACTCCGGGTGACCGTGAGTTTGACCGCAAACGAGGGCTGTTACGTAATGACGTTGAGCAAAGCTTGGGTAAGGACGGAGAAACCTGATGGTCGGAGCGTGCTAATGAGCTGGAAGCAGCAGCTGCATCTGATTACTACCGGAAGCTCTTCCAACTCATCCGAGCCACTGGCAGCAAGAAGTCTGGTGTGAGCAAAACAATCTGTGAAGATGGCGGGATGCTAATCACTAACATCCATCGACGTCTTAGACGATGGGCAGGATTCTTCGAAGGGCAGTTCAACTGGCCTGCTGCTCCACCATAATAATTTCTTAATACTAAATTACTCCTACTGTCAATTTTTTTGTCTTCAATATTCTAGGCACAACGCAATCTAAAACTCAGCCTTCAACAACCACTACTTCAGCTCCTGCACCCGATAGGCAAACTTCAGTCGAGTGTGCATCACCTTCACCTGGTCCAGCTCGTTTGGCTGCTTACCGAGATGCTTCATTGATGGCAATGGAGGTTGGTTTTAATATATACATATGACAGTGCAAATATGTAGGATATCAGTTCTTTTGTGATAGCTAATTACTTTCCAAGTACTAATTTTACTACTCAATACCTTTTTTGTATCTACAGTCGAAAAAGTTTATTTGTCTACTTGTTTTAAATATGTAATAGTTTGTCTGTGATATTAGGAAAATCCCCTCATAAACAATCTTCTTTTTCATCACAGTCATTTTATATGTCAGTCCTGATAAGAAGACCTTAACAAATTACCTGGTTTCTAATGCTTACCTTTATAAAAAATCCTGTAGTGATTTTTCTCTAGTTTAGATTCTCCCACTAACCCTTGCTGATGTGTTATTGATTGTTCTCGCTTTTACTTTGTAGTTTTTATGGTATCTCAATTGAGCTTTTCAATTGCTATTTTGACTCATGTTCCCAGGTGGATTAATAACACTGAATTGTTATAGTGTATTATTCAATCGATATATCTAGTTCTTATATAAGCCGCTCGTATTAGAAGAATCTCCCAATACGTGTTCATCTTAATTTATATGTAATAATTTCTCAACTTGCTTATGAGACCGGTTTGTATTTTGTTTATTTGAATATACTTCTTAATTTCGACCGATTAATAAACGTTTCACGCTTGTGAATCATAATGTTGATTATCAGCACTAGAGCAAATTAAACTTATTGAAATAGATTCAATTAACTGCATGTAATTATTTAAATTGTATCTATGTCCATTTGTCCAATTGGTTAACCACATTTAGTATGCTTTCGTGTGTCATATTTTAAGTGGTAGGTGTAGTGTACATTTGTCTCAGATCGACGAGCTTAATCAATTCGAACCAGTAACGTGATAGTTAGCTGCTAGATGTTCAATCCACTAAAACTGATCATGTACTAAAAGTACTATTGTGGTGACCTTGTTATCTCCCACTAATCTTGGAGGAAACGTTTTCTCGAAACTAGCTTATGGCTTTCATAAGCCGGACTACATAGTACACAACCTTGAGGATGCAGCGCGCGAGTTTCACTTTGTGACCAGATGGCCTTGAAGACAGAGGGAAAAGAACTATCCTACACTGACAAATGGCCTAATTGGTTAACAAGAGAAACAAAAAGTTAATCAAAGCAAAAGACTCTATATCCGATTCAACTAACTCAATAAAGTACACAGTAAAAGTATGGTATGCCGATGACCTTGAGTTAACAAATCAGAATCGAGGTAACTCCTCATTTATTTTTCGTGAAGTTTAACGTTCAATGATAGACAACCTGTATGTTATCATTAATTTAATGAAAATCGTCAGTAATTGGCTCCTAAAATGCTCGGATTGAGTAAAAATATCTATCACTCAACCAGAATATGAATTTGAGATGGTGCTTGACCTAAATGACTAAAACAGAACTTCTTCTAAGTTAGATTGTGTTAAAGTGCTTAATGTGATTCAATGCGTAGTCAAGAGTGTTTAGTGAATTTAGGTAATATTCTCTCTTTCTAACTCTTCCTCTATATCTCAACCCTAGGTTTCGTAATTTTGTGAGCAAAACATTGAATTATAGCTGTTGTCAGTTTGTAATGAAAACCTCAACCCTAATTTTTAAATCGAACTCCAACCTTATTCCTTATACCTAGCCCTACTTTTTTTACACTATAACTAATTTTATATGGTAATGAAAACTCTATGTGGTGATAACCCTTATTCAGAGTATACGATCCCAACTCTTAACGTGTAGACTTAACCATTTTCCTTCTCTACAATCAATAATTTGGCATATAAAAGTTAGCTATTCAGATCAAAGCTGTTATTTCATTGTTAGAATATTGCATTTTTCTGTTAATTATTTTATTGCTTTGCAGGGATTCCTGATTGGTGGCTCATAATTCTCTCAAGGTTGTCAGTGTATTATATTTTATCAAGGTTCACGAATAAATATTATCAATAACTGAACCACAAAGCACATTAGATGAGAAAATACTATTGCACAAAACTAGGACATTAGAATATAAGGATCACGTTTAATTAGGCGTACATAGTTCATCATTTCTTCATTCCTCTCGTCACATTTAATATACCTCAGAAATTTAACAGAAAAAAAAGATCAGTTAAGTCTCCACATTTAATTAGTATCTGTCATGAATAAGATATCAGTATTTAAAAATCATCGTTTCTTATTTATTGTAGATCGAAGCTCTCCGTGAAGCTATTCGACGTTTATCTTCTGAAGTGTCCAAACTTCGTGGTGAGAAGATGCTTGTAAGTTCTCTCTAATTATTTATTCCGATGTACATGTTGTATGTCATAAGTGCTATATCTTGTCATTAGTCAAGATGATATCAAATACTGTTAAAGGTGTTTGAGCGGTTATCGATTCAAGGCTGCCCACATAATGAAAGTATGCTTCCTTTTAAGGAATCTAAAAAGGGAATCCAGGGGAAGGGTGCCTTGTTGACCTTAGCGAGAGTTTTCCTGAATGTTTCTTAATCAATCACTAAAGATGCACCAATCAGAATATATACTGCTTTAGTTAGTCCACAAATTAACAACGTAAATTTTGGTCATGGACATGCTTCTCTTTCCAAAGATTAACCTTAATGCTCATTGATCTACCAAACAGATACATTCGTCCTGGTTTCAGCCAAATGTCTATTATTATATTTGAGTGACAAGTTTCGTATGGAACTAGGTGGTGGAGAATGAAACTTATAAATGTTTACCCTTTTTATTTATTGAAAATGTACTCATTTGATTATTTTATCTTTAATTTATTGGTATATATTTCATGCACCCATTAGCTTATATGCATACATTATCAGACCGATAATTTGATGAGACTGTTACTTAGGAGATTATTTTGTTGACTTAGGTCCCCAAATAACATACTTATATACAGAATATGAAAACCAAATGAACATTGTAAAATATCAAAGGCAGTTGAAGGAAATTAGCTTTTAGGTCACTCATTGCCCTACCAATTAAAACTGTTAATCTTAATCTTGTAACATCATATCACCTCCCCCTAAAGAAATGATATGGGAGCCTTCTTTAGAAACTTCACTCAAGACATTCTTCAATTTTATTGCAAATCAAGTTTTTGTTCTTTTTTCCTATTAAAACCATCTTCTTAACATCAAATATATGTTAATTCATTTTCCCTTTTTAAAATAAGCATATCACGATTTTGTTCGTAACTATCCAACACCTGAAGAGCTTGTATACTGTAACTGAAAAAGTCAGTAGTTCTCATGAAACTGATGCGTGGCTTGTGGAGGTTGATCTGGGATTTGCGTTATAGGTTCAGTTGAATGTCTTTTAATCCAAATTGGAGATTCCAAACTTGAATTCAAAGAATTTAAAAGAAATTTTGCACTAATTGGCTTTCAACCCGCAAACCACAGGTTTGAAACCTGTTCTACTTAAATCGGTCTGGAAAGCTACATCGTATCATGTAAATAACGTAGTTCAAATGGTAGATTTCATGAATTGGTACTTGGTCAGTGAGTGACATTATGGATTACTCAAAAATCATCTTCATTTCTTGAATTACGTTTTCCTGTTGATAACATGGTTCATCTAACCTCTCTATAATGAAGCAACACTCAAGCTAGTTGTTTTTTTATTTTTCACTTATAATCCATCACGTTTTACTGACTCACTTTTAATTTTTAAAAATCTAGGAACAACTTAAGAGCTTGGGTTCTTTACAAAAACCTTCACGTCGTCAAGAGCCTGTTATTGTAGATGATGACACTTCTGATAAGGAGAATAAATCATCCTCACCTATTCAAGAACACAAATCTGTCCTACCACAAATTGTCCATGATGCAAATGTACTACGAAAAGAAATTTTCTCTGTACTTGCAAATCCTCAAGTTGTTCGTTTGCCTAAATTATTGTCAAAACAAGTTTCAGAGATGCCTAATTCAGGTTCTGGAGATGATGGATCAACTTCTATTATACAACCGGTTACAGTTGTTCAACCCAGTGCTACAATTCAGTTTAATAGACAAACAGTGAAATTAGTCAAATTGAAAAATGAATTAGAAAAGGTAATATATTTATATACTCATATACTTCAAACTGTAATTTATTTCGTTAAACGTAACATGCTACTATTATTTCTTTTCATTAAAATATACATGCATTGATCCTTTATAAGCTAACTTATGTCTTAAAGCAGTGAAATGACACAAAACTAGGTCTACTGTAATCTTTCTGTCAATTAACCTAGAATGAATGGAAGTTCAAGTTAAATCGATTCAGGACAAGTTCGTTATTAGTGATCATTTACTTATTATACTGAAAACAATTTCCGAGTATAAACCTGAAAATATACTGTAATAACTATCTCATGTGTTTTTTTTGTAGCTTTACTCTGCATATAGGATAAATCACATGTTTAGTTTAAATTATGCGAAAGTTTGCTTCATTATTGTATGGTAAACTTGATTTTCTATTCTAATAACCCACTAATTAGAACATAACTGTGTTAGATGGATAATGGCTAGCAGAAAAATCCAGGACGCGCTCTTCGTCCTATTTTGGATTCGTCAGCTCGATATACCTGTTGATGTTCATTCCGGGACTCGAACCTAGTACCACGACCTAAATTCCTGTGTTAGCCACCATCTATCTCTGTTTATAATGCTTGTGACTTAAGGTAAGGTCGAGGCAATCCGCAAAATATGCACGTATGCCAATAAAAGGCTGATTATTTGCAGTCCTAAACATCAGTGGGAAGATTCAAGAGACCAAAGCAGAAATGAATAACTGCGTTAAACTGATACCCACTATTTTCTTACGACTTCATAAATCGTGATCTTAAAAGATGGCAGGTAAGTAGCTTTCAAAATATCATAATAACACTCAATGGCGTTTATGTTGTAGTAGAGTAATGGTAAGCTGCTCTGTTTTCAGCCATTTGTCGTGATTTTGAATTTCTTTCCTTCAACTTAGATTTAGGTAACTGATAGTCACCAGCTATCAAACAATAGCTGTATGAGTCGAAAGAAAATGCAAGGATTTGCATTTCTTAGCCCAAGATTTCTATGATATCTATTCGGTATATCACGAACATTGGCAATTAAATTCAACCAACGCTTTTAAATTATTTTGTGCAACATATAAATCTAACTAGTAAATTCTCACATTCCAACATTGCTGGATTCAATGAATACATGTAATAACGACACGGTATGGCTACTTATAGTATTACTCAGCCTTCTTCCATCCCCCAGCTAACATGGAGCATCATATCGAGTAGCGGTTGAGGGTCTGTGACAATACCCGATTAGGAGTTTTCTTATCAGTCATTTTACCATATATATTCAACAGTACCCTACACCCAACCGACCGTAGCTGCTAACTTGATGTAGTGCTCAAGCTTCCCCATCATAGTGACTCGATCGAGCTTGCTAAAATAATTGTTCCTTTAGGTTTTACTATGCCATGCAGGTCATTTCGGGGACGGTAAGACTAAAAGCAGCCAGTTCATGAGCAGAAAGCGGAGTCATACTGCTGATTATAGAGTGGTTTGACAACGGTAAGATGTTTCCTTCAGGCAACCAGCGTCTGCAGTGCTGTCGCCCTTTCAATAAAAGAAAGAAGATAAGAAAGGTGCGGCCTAGAACTGTCAAGTCACACCTTACTCCACAGATTTTCGTCTCGAACAGTAAGGCATTTTGAAACACGGATCTAACACATTATAAACTTTTCACAGAAGGGCCGTGTATGACCGGCATCAAGCTGTTGCTACGACCATTACTAATCCAGTTTCATTTTAAGATCTCTCAAAACAAAATACTCTCACGATGAGGATTACGGGGAACTGACAACCACTCTCATGTACACTATTAACAGTGCTAGGAATTCTTTTGTTGCGTTTGACTTTACTTGACACGTAACTTCAGCATTACTCACTGCATTGTTATGCCTTTTTTTAAATAAAAAATTATCTTAACTCCCTCCACTGTATTGATTGATTTTTTTTTTTCAATTCTACTTTTTTCTTTTTTTTTCTCCCTCCCTCTCAAAATCAACATAATACTCTTAGTTACAACAACGTGCATTTGATGCAATTAAAACTGAAATACCAAATACATTAATTCAAGCAGATTTTACATCATTTCCATCAGTGAAAATGAAAAAATTATTAAATTTAACAAATATTAATGATACTACATCATTACATTATCGTTTATTATTTCCTAATGATAATAATACTACTACAACTACTATTAATGATAATTATGAAACTATGAATACAGTAAAAATATCTATGACAAAAAAAGATCTACAATATTTACATTCATATTTGTTAAAAGTTTAAAAATAATGAATTAATGAGTAGTATCATTTGTTTATTGAATGTTAGTGTTTTTCTTTTTTTTTGGGGGGGGGGAATGAGGAGGAGGAGAATTCTAGACTTATTTGAATGTGTTTCTTTTATCTCATGGTGAGACAAGTAATGTGTAGTGAAGATATATATATATATTCTTTTGATTATATCCAAGGAGAGAAGTATTCATCATCCTGATATTTCATTGTTCTTTGTTTCTTCTTCTTCACTGTTTTCAAAGTTATTTTTATTAAGATATTTTACTTATCTGTAATGTTTATTTTTTCAGTTTTATGGTTTAATTTATTACTGATCATGATATAAAACAATAAATAAATTGAAGTGATGAAATAACTTGTTGATTTAATTATCAAATAAATTGGTTGTATTATGTTTTGATATATTAATTTTAATAGTTGAATTCATGAACCGATCTAAGCTAGATCACCATTGAAAACCTGAAAGTATTCAACCGCCGTTTCATTCTAGTATTGGACTTTTCAACAGTGTGTTTAGTGGTCTTGAGGTTAAGCGTTCAGCCACAAGACCAAACGTCCTGAGTTCGAATGTCACATGAGGGATTGTAGATGTGCACTGTTGAGGAGTTCTATACTAGGAAGAAAAAGCCTTCCAGTGCTTCAGGGTTTTTAGTGGTGACCTAGCATAGATCGTAACATGAATTCAACCATTAAAATTACTACAATGTCCACGAATACCCATCCTGATATATATTGACATGAATTATTTTCTCTATTTAACATAAGATTAATAACATGTGTTATAAATTAGTGTCTAATGAATAAGTATCCTTTAAATCAGTTAGTAAATTAACCTGTTGTATCTTGATATTTGGTTCAGTTTCACCTACAGAAATTACTATTTACAAACGACCTTGAAAAGATGGCAACTGAGTTATATAACTCTTAAACAATAACTCTCAATAATGCAACTTAAAAAAGAAGTGAGCTATGTAGGAGGAAAATTCAATAGAAATAAAATCAAAGTGGTAGTACTTTTAATATGGCAACTAAATCTAACCATGAGACCGTAAAAATTATTAACTAAAATTGGAAAATGTCATACAGATATACGATTCAGGGAACTTTCCTCTGGGTTCTCGTTACAGAAGAAAAAAGAAAATATTTATTTGCAAAAACTGGATAACCTTTAATTTGTTTAGCAAAACCTGTTACTAGTCAATAGATGATTATATGCATTGATACAAAGTGGTCGAGTAGTGATTATTTATGAAACCTAATTGTTGTTATAACTCATCCACCACAAATGAATTGAAATCAGAAAATAACTACTCAGTAGAATTTGATCTTTCTAGTAAACTTACATGCTTATACACAAAATATTGAACACAAAGATTAACATGGTTTCAAGTCATCTTGCGGTGAACGAGAACATAAGTGCAGACAACACGAAATTACAGAATCTCTTAGTGGAATCTGATAACTGTGCAGTAAATTCTTCATTTGCAAAATGTCAATCAACCAATCGCGCAGTTGGCCCTCATATGATACACTTGTTATGGTGACTATTTATTATTTCAATACAGCACGGATGTGGTAGAACATTTCGAAGCAAATATTTATTCGGGTTCCTTATCAAAAGCACTCTTCTTTTCGTTCTCTTGCTGCAACGCATCTCTAACTTCAACGCAGTGCAGTTGTTATTAGTTTCCACTCCTCGCCTACTTATAAATCTTCTTGAAAAACCTTCGTTCTCATCAAGCATACATATCCTTGCACTGGTAGATTTCCTTAACCCGACCAAAGCACTCAATTAGAGATAAGAATTAGGTGAAGACTTAGTAACAGACTAACATATCAGTTAAAGAAAGATAACAGATTGTTTCATGAAATACGTGTAAACAGTGCTAGACACCTGATTGTCTTAGCTAGTCATATGAATTGGTCGAGCCCGAAACGATTTTAACGTCATCTTGGTGACCTGTGGCAAAATAAAGATACTTTGAATCGCAGATTAGCTAAAGGTAATCCGCTTTACGAACATTATTTACTTACGATTGTTACCCCTCATGGAGAAGCATAGACCTCCCGCCAGGATTCTATCCTATTGTGTCTTTGATAATCCTTTTCAGTTGCTATTCATCTTTTTCATATCTGCTTCCAACTCTCGACAGTGTGTTCTTTGATATTCCTCTTTTTCGTTTCCCTCAAGGATTCCAAGTTAGTGTTTACCTAGTGATGCAGTTTGATGAGTACCTCAATGTGTGTCCTATCCACTTCCATCGTCTTTTTCTAATTTCCTCTTCACTTGGAAGCTGGTTTGTTCTTTTCCACAATAGGCTGTTGCTGATAGTATCTGGCCAATGAATGTTGGATATCTTACGTAGACAATTGTTTATAAATACTTGTACATTTTTGACGATGGTTGTGGTAGTTCTCCAAGTTTCAGCTCCGTGCAGTAGAACATAATAAAACTTTAAGTAACATATGCGACGGGGTGATTAACTTAACCTAGCCATACCATAATGGAACACCGGCTCACTATGAAACAATTGCTGTGTTTCATCATGATAACACTAGTTATGTAGTAAAATCACTTACTGTTTGATAGTAACACATCATTCCCATGTCTTCATGAATAGAATATTCGTCGACGAAATCATAGGTATTTGAGTCACTGACTATTTCATAATACAACCACCCTGAGTAGTTTGTGAAATACCGAGTAAAAAACTAGCTAATAACCAAAAAGACTTGTACCTATGTGAGATCAGGTTATAGGATAATTGGACATCAAAAACATGATTCAGGAGAGAAACAGTGAATCTTATTACATAGATGACAGACGGTAACAGCATAAGTTCCGGTAGACAAGAAAACGTTTAAAAACTTTTCGGTTATTCTATTATATGTATGACTGAAGCAAGTAAAAGGAAATTATCGATAAGTGACTCATTGATAAGGTAACAAGTGATCAAAGCAATATCATGTCGCACACTTTTAAAATATATAAACAAAGCAGGTTTATAGCCGTAGTCTAATAGTATTGATCATGTTTTTTTCGTACAATCCACTCACAAACACAATATAAGCGCAGTTTTCGTCATCCTACTGAAATCTCCGATTTGGGAAAAGTTGTACTGTGATTCCTGAGCCAATTTTTTCAAATCACTGAATCAATTATTTAAAATCCTTTGGTATGTGATAGTGAGAGTAAGATATGATTGGTCAATGAGTGTGAACAAACAGGCACTTAGCTTATTGACTATTAAATATTTGATTTCTTCTCCGTACATTGATTTCTACTTCGAACTTACTGAGTATAACTGCTCCTAACTGTATCGATTAACGTATTATCTTGTATTAATCTGGTTCTCTATTCTAAGTCGTGAATCCTGGATCTGATATAAAGTTGTGGTGTATGATACCTATGTTTGCAGATACAAGTAGTATGTAACATCATTCGGAAGTGGAATGTCTGCGTGTAGAAGGTTGAGAAAATTAAAACGAAGAGAAGTAGGAAACTGAAAGTAATCAAGATAACAACAGAAATGAAGGAACAATGGAGCATGTAAGAGACAATTCAGAGTTGTGCAAATGATGTATTTAATGTGTCATTTTCACTTTTGATTAAACCACTGTGTGATTGTGAAGTTAACAATAAACTGGTCTTCTCCACCTGAGTGTTCGTTCACTACAATATGACTAGTCTAATTATCGTCATAACGTATTGTCGTAGTAGACTCGAGAGAGAGAGACAGAAAAGAAATATTTCAAACCATTCGTTATATCAGCGGTAAAAGTATACCCTTATCTAAAACGAAATAACGTGACATACTATTTATCCGTGTTTCCTGTAGATTGAATTCCATTAAATTTATTTTAACACATAGATATTGGTACAAGGAGACACCAAATACATCTCATTCGATATGTGTGAGGGCTGTGATACTGCCCGGGTGCCCAAACTGAAGCAGGTGGTTATCTTAGGGAGCCACACCCCGAGCCTTCGACCTAAAGGTCTGATCCACAAGACAGTGGAGCATCGTAAGGAGATCCAGTCCCATGGAAGCCGGTGACCAACAATTGGTTCATACGCCATTTGTTCCCGCAGGATACTGGAGCCCATGTGCACCATTGGTTTGGAATCCGGTTAAAGCGCCGGACATTCTCTTTTCGTCCTCTCATTTTCGTAAACAACATCCCCGCCACGAGAAGGCAGTGAGTAGGACTTCCATTGAATTACTTTATATGAAATTATGTTGTGAATATTTAAAACTTTTATTGTGTTTGGAAATTTGTGTATTTTAATTTAGAAAAATAACCAAAACTCATATTGTATAATCATAAGATGATTCAAAAGAGAAGTCATTTGACTTATTATACATAAATGTATATACCCATTGAATTTATTGAATGGATGCTAAACGATAATTTACAGCTTCTTGATGAATATTCTCTGATTCAGTTATTCCTCTGCCAACAATCATTATAATAGATGATGAGGATATAGTTGTAAAACGTTTCTTTACTTGTTCAGGTGTATTGTAATTTTGGCCTAGATCATCATTGGAATTAATAAGTTTTACACCTGACAAAATAACATAAGAATGATATTAAAAGAAATAATTGGCAAAAACAAAAATAAAAGGCTCTTGTATGGAATAATTTAATTTGTAGATGGTATTTTTCATTAAGTAAGCACAATTTGAGGTATTATTGTGGTGTATGCTACTTATATTGACATAAGTAGTAGATGATGTTAGTCGTGAACAGAAGGTCTGACAGCAGAGAGACAGGAGGATCGAACAGTAAAGAATGGAAACAGGTTGCGATTTGTATGAAAATGCAAGAACAATGAAGTCTGAGTCATTTTGAGACAATTGGTGGAGATTTTGCAAATTAAGCATTTACTTTATGATTGTTAGATTTTATTAACAAGTCTTGCAATGTTGTGTTAAATACATTCTATTGTCCCCACTGATGTTCTTGTTCACTACGGTATTATAAAGTAAACAAGAAGTTATTTTTGTCAAGTGGGGACTCATGGTTAGTGAAGTATGCTTATGTGAGGGATGAAACAATCATCACCTAGGTGACGCTGGATAATCGTTATGATACATCGCGAACCAAATGAAATCAAATTTCAGTTCGGTGGTTTACAAACTGATAAGAGCAAAAGGTTTTGAGTGTGAGATGACCGTAGGTGAGCAATCCTATATGTATATCCGACCAACATTAACGCCGATGTTGGCTGGTATATTAATAGTTTGGGGAAAAGCTGGCGGCTATTGTACTTCGACCACGGATCAGTCCATGACTGTTGGACTGAGATGTGTAGGTTGATATGGACTACATGGTTGGGGTCTCCACGACGTTAGACGACATGGAATGAAATCACACAGAATGGACAGATTCACTTTGTCTTGAAATATTTATGCTTTTTACTTCACGACTTTGTTTTTAATCCGACCAGATTCTCTGTTTAATGTTTATTACTACCACCGGTATGGCTGCTACTTTTACTACTCTGTTGATGAGGTAAGGCAACTCGAACAGATGCAAATATATACCAGGTTCCATGGTGGTGGATGGTGCTTCGACAGTTCTAGATAATACATAATGAATGCCTTCTACGAAAAAACGACAACTGATTTTCCTTAATATACAACTGATAGGTCAACCAAATGAACGGCTCAATAG